TCCTAGACCCGTACCAGAGGCGTCGACTTCAACGCGCGTCAGCAGGGTAGGGTTGAAGAGTGCCAGCACGGGCTCGGTTGCAAGGTGTTGTCGCACAGCGGCGGCTGCCTGTGTACATGCTGGAGTCCAGTCCCAGTTTCCAGCGAGCAGAGCTGTCAACGGAGCGAGCAGGTCAGCCAGGTTAGGCACGAACTTAGCTAGGTACGTGGTGAGGCCAAGAAAAGAGCGCAGTTGCGAGACGTTCTCCGGATCAGCCATCTCGTGGAGTGACTTGACCTTGTCCTCACCTGGTCGGACGCCGGAAGCTGAAACTCGATGGCCCAAGAAGGTCAGCTCCGTGACGCTGAATGCACACTTCTTGCCGTTGAGCGTGACACAGTTCGCCTTGAGTGCTGCTTTCACCGCTGCTAGTCGCTTGTCATGCTCCTGTTGAGAAGGAGCGAAGACGAGGATGTCATCCAGGTAAATGAGCACACCCTCAATCGAGCCCAGGATCTGCTCCATCTTCCTCTGGAAGAGCTCAGGACCGCTTGACACGCCAAATGGTAATCGGCGGAACCGGTAGTGCCCCAATGGGGAGGCGATGACAAATGCATGGTGGCAGTCTGGAGTTAGTTCCAGCTGCGAGTAGCCAGACTTCAAATCTAACTTCGAGAATACCGTTGCACCGGACACCTGCGCCAGGAGGTCGTCAGTGGTTGGCAACTGCACACCAGGCCGGCGTACGGCGGAGTTGACTTGTCGCAAGTCGACACACCACCGGACCGTCTTGTCCGGCTTCATCACCGGGACAAGGGGAGAAACGAAATCAGTGGCCTGCACTTCACTAACGGTCTCGACCACACCCTGTTCCGTCCATGCCTGCAGTTGTTCTCGTAATGAGTGGAGCAAGGCCGGAGCCACTCGCCGAGCTGACTGCTGGATCGCTGGTTGACTGGAATCCAAGTGAATCGTCACCGGTCCACGCATAGCTGGGAGCGACGCCAACTCCTCGGTGTCGGCATGAATGCTGATGCCAGCGACAGGTGGTGCCAACAGTCCTAATGCAAGTGACACACCTTCGCCCAGGAGTGCCGGCACTGGCTGCTTGGAGTCGTCAACAACAAAGATAGTCTCTTGTACAGTGAACTGGTTGTACGTGATGCACGCCTCGAAAACACCAACAGGTTTGAGCTGAGACGTTCCTACCGGCCGTAATGGGCAGGGCGATGACGATAGCCGATACTCGCTCGGTACTTGTGACTGAGGCAGGACCGTCACCATGCTGGCCGAATCCACGCGCATAGCCCTTTGGTGCTTGCCATCTAGCACTACCGATCGTAGTGGAAGCACAAATCCAGTTTTCCCGGACCAGACGCTGAAACATTCCGCATCGTCGTCGTCATCGCTGTCATCCATTTCAGCAAGTTTCGGTGAAGACACCTGACTTCTGGACGATGGCGTTGCTGCTGGTCGGGAATCATTTGCCATGGCCAGGCTGGCCGTCATCCCTGGCTTCGTGCTCAGGTACTGGCCTTTCGGCTTGGGCTTCGCTGCGCCGGAACGGCAGACTTGCCCGAAATGCCCTTTCCGTCCACACTGGTGGCACACGGCGTCGGCCGCCGGACAGTGCCGCTTTCCCGGTGGGTGCGTCGCTCCGCAGTACCCACAAGCGGGGTTACTGGTGTATGGAAGGCTGGGTCGGCCTTGTGTCTGGGGAGCGGCGTAGCTGACCTCGACTTCCTTGGCTGGCGTCTTGCGCGCCAACACAACTGCTTGAGCTCGCTTGGCTGCAGCCGTCAGGTCCTTGCCTCCCTCTTGTAACACACTCTTCCGGGCCGCTTTCACAGACAGGCCATGTGCAAACAAATGTACGGCGACTGTGCCGAGTACATCTTTTAGGTCAGCTCCTGGAGTGAGATTGCATACTCTCATCTCTTTCTCGATTCGGACCCGAAACGCCTGAATCGATTCCCCAGGCTGCTGCTCAATGGAGAATAGCTCAGCAAGCCTGGCATCCGTGCTGCGCTGGCTTCCAAAATACTCATCGAAGAGCCCAATTAGTTCCGCGAACGGGTCGTCTGCCTCAGGGATCGTGGGAAATTTCTGCCACAAATAGTAGCTTGCATTTTCTCCTAGATTCGCCGCCGCGGCCAGGTACTGCTTCTTCTTGTTGGTCACCTCGTGGAGCTGGAAGCCGATGTCCAGTTGACTTCTCCACGTCTGGTAATGGTCATGGCCGAGTTCGTGATCTAAGTCCAGCTTGACAGATACGCGGACTTTCGATGCCATTGTTGTCGCCGTCGTCAGTCAGATTTTCGGAACGAGTGCCAAATCCTGTTCACTGCGCCAATGTTGAGTCGGGCTTGCTCGTTCGCAGACTGTTAGACAACAACTGGATGGGTTCTGAGATATCTCTTACTTAGACTATCATGATCTCAGACAATACTACAAGACAAAAGCAAAAGGGAAAACCACTCGAAAAACCATGTCCGCCATTCCAACTCTCTCTCTCTAGAACTCTCTCCACACAAACTCACGACTCACTGAAAGTCTGGAAAAGCTCGCGCAAAGCAATAAACACGTGACACGCAGATACCGCGCAACACTAAAAGACAGCTAACAGTGCACTACACGTAGGTAGTGACGACAATGCAAAGTCAGATACATGGTGACTGATATCATGCAGATCAGTAGCAGTTCAGTTAGTTGAGGTCGAACCTCAACAGTCACTGCCTGTGCATGTGTGTGGTCTTCATGTGCCACGCAAAACTCTTACCAGGCTCATCTCACCTTTGCTTGAGCAACAAACACAACAATTCAGGAATGTTTTGCAATGAAAAATACAGCTATCTGGAGCTGAAGAAAAAGAAGAAAAATTGTCCTCAGAATTACACACCAGGGAGTCGTCAAATACTTGCACTTGTTGCAGTACTGTATTTGACAACTTCCTGATACACATGTAAACATGAAGAAACTCTTTGTGGTAGCACTCTTAATTTTTCAATTGAAATTATGATTCTGCTGTATTTTATTGTCGTTGCCATGTCTATTGCTATGACGATGCGGTGCCGGCACTTTTTTTCTGTCTCCGTCTTTCAGTACTGTATACTCTCTGATGGCCTGTAGAAGACTTTTTGTTAGGGTGTAGGAGAAATATCTTCATTTTTCCTGTTTTGATAATGATAGCACATCAATATACATTGTGGTCATAATGTGTTGGCATTTGGGCTAATTTCAACAGCAGCCCAATGGTCTGCTCTGTTGGCCATGTGATAAATTTGTTATCGCATGGTTGCTGCGGGCCTTATGGCATATTATTGCCCCTCGAGGTTAGCCCTCGGGCTAACCTCTCGGGTCAATAATATGCCATAAGGCCCTTGCAACCATGCGATAACATATACATATTATCTTTCCCTATCCAGTTATTGTTGTTTGGGATCACATACCCTTTGCCTCTGGAAAATCGATTTGGAAATCAATGATCCATTCTTGAAATGTTCCTGAGATGTCTGCCATTCGTTGCTGTAACATGACTCTATAGAGAGGTTTTGCATTCCGAATTTCGGAATGATTTTCGACTGTGCTTTTCCGAAAAAAGCGCGTTCCGAAAAACGGTATTTTCAGTGTTTTGCATTCCGAAAATCTGATTCGACTTCGTTTCCAAGGGTTGCCATGCAAAACAAAATGGAGAGCGTCGAAGGGGTTGAGCAGGATCAAATCCATGTGCGCAGGTCAAACTGAATTATTTGGGTGCGGTTCGAAGACGAGGACGGACTGATGGTGGACCAAGTGATCCAACAGCTGAAGACGAGGTTGGCGAACTACTGTCTTGTACTGTCAGTAGGCTTCATGGCAAAGGAAGATAGAGTGTGATGGAGTGTGAGAAGATTAGTCAACATGGCGAGATCAGCGAGAGCAGCAAAACCAGCAAAAATCAAAACTACATACATGTACGTGGAAAATTTTTCAAATAATCAAGATCGATAGCAGCAGAAAGCAAAAATACAAACATGAAAAATACACTTTTTTGTATTCAAATATGCACTCCCAAACATGAAAGAGCCGAAAATCCATTTTCGGAAAACCATGCACTTTCGCCACCACACTTCCGAAAGTTCGACTACTTTTTCGACTGCTGCCGCCACATTCCGAAAATAATTCCGAAATTCGGAATGCAAAACCTCTCTTATGTTAGGTAGCTTATGCTGCTTCAAGGTAAATTGATCTCAGTAAGGCCAGTGGGGATGAGAAGGAGGAGGAGGCTACTTTCACTTACCAATGCTGGCACATCTTCAGAGGCAGCAGAACATACAGTCATTATCCACGGTGACGAGGAAGTTTGCTCTAGAGCTGTGCTGCTTCATCCTTTCTACTACAGTACAGGGGCGTCGGACACAGCACGGTCACTGCGGTATTGACCGTACCACCTTTTGCCCCAGGTACCCCGTGAATCAATAAAATACACTCGTCTAGGCCCTAAATTTCCAAATTTTTCGGCTGTGCCACCACTCCCACACGAGTAAATTGTACTTCAGATGGCTGACCGTACCACACTAAAATACCTTCCGACGCCCCTGCAGTAGTACTCACAATACAATTTACAGTTATCCTGGATGTTGTATACACCATCTCTAGGGGAAATATCCTGATGTCGTGTGGTCTGTATGTGTGTGTGTGTGTGTGTGTGTGTGTGTGTGTGTGTGTGTGTGTGTGTGTGCGTGTGTGTGTGTGTATGTGTGCGTGTGCATATATGTATGTGTGCGTGTGCATATATGTATGTATGTGTATGCATGTGTGTGTATGTGTGTGCACGTGCGCGTGTGCGTGCATGTACACGTATGTGTGTATGCGTGTGTGTGTGTGTTTGTGTGTGTGCGTGCACGCACGCGTGTGTGCGTGTGTATGTGTGTATGTGTGTGTGTGTGTGTGTGTGTGTGTGTGTGTGCGTGTGCGTGTGCGTGTGTGTGTGTGTGTGTGTGTGTGTGTGTGTGTGTGTGTGTGTGTGTGTGTGTGTGTAGACCGTACCTGAGCTATCCGCAGGACAGGTTACGATCTTGGTCCAGGTGGAAACAGCTGATGACAATGAGCCAGTCATATCTGGGCTCGGTCAGAGCAGGTCCTTTGTTGAAGACGGTCCAAGTATAGCTGTAATGCCCAACATCTCCATCACCGATGCAGACACTAACAACATCAACCACACGTACATCACGTCAGTGCTGGTCACATTACAAGACGGTTAGTAGCAATCAGAATGCCTGTATCCCCCCCCCCCCTTGTTTTGGCATTGGCACTACCCACATGCTAGCGGTCCAACAAACATCAACACCACTACTATAGCTACGTGCGCTGAAATCCAACCCCAAAAGTGCAAAATTGGCACCCTGGACCAGTTCCGATTACGTCAGTGTATCTGTACACGTGTACATGTATGTCCGGCAACGGCAACGGCAGCAACGGCAGCAGCATTCGTACAACTTCCAGGGTGTCAAGCGCCATGCAAGTTGAGGGTGCCAAGTATGCGCTTTCGTTCGGATTTTAGCGAGCGCAACTGTAGCTTTCCAATGTTCCATTTTTTAGCGACAAATGAATAAATATTCTCGCTCCATGTACACCGACATACCGACATGGACACAGACAACAGAGGCAGGCGCACACAGAGTGAGGGTAGTAGGCCGCAGCCAGATGTGAACCGGAATGCAGAAGAAAACTACTTCCTCCGCGTCATCGAAATTGTCGCAGTTTTGACTTTTGATATAAAACGGGGTATTTACTCACCAGCACTCGTACCAGAGGCAAGGAATCAGACATAGGCGATAGTCATCAGTATAGGGTGACGCCAAAGTTCTATTTTCTGTTATTGGAAGCTGGAATTTTTGACCTAGACGCAATTTCTTCGCTGCTGTCGGTGCGATGGTAATTTCGACTCGCTGAGATCAGTCAGGCGTTGCAGCCCGCACATTTCTCGTGCTTATGGCCATTCACTCAAGCCGCATCACTGTTTTACCTTAGCTGGGGTGAGAATGACTTCGTGGAACAAGTGGCAGCGCTTGGAGAAACATCGAGGGCTCAGCAAACTAAATGCCTGCAACAGCGATAAAATTTGTCGCTCTGGCTGAGACACTCAGTACATGATTGTACCTGCGAGAGCCGTGTAGACTCTACAAGTAGTGCTAGTGATGCACGCGCAGGTGCCGTACCATGGTATCAGTGATGCTGAAAAAGACGGCGCGCTGGACGTGATAGTACACTTACCTGCATGAGCTGTGACCACACAGCTAAAATAAATGGGCATGCCACGGCTAAAAAAAAGTTCATTTCAAGATCGAGGTGATTCCGCCGACGGTAATCAAGCGACCTCGCAACGATCGTGTGTTCTTACTAGGCTTCGTTAGTGGTGAAGTAGAAATCATCCAGAGCTAGCAGACGTCAAGCATAGCAGCTCTTGTCCTGTGGAGAAAGTGAAAGCGTTTGATATGAGGCGCGACCAACTTTCAACCTTCCTTGAAATATTTCGGAACGATATTTTTGCGTCCATTGACATCAGCGACGACGACGACTTCATCTCTGCATGAAAACTCTCAGTCCAACTGTCCTGGAACGTTACTCTAGTCTTCAGACTATCATACTGTGTAATAAGTTTTGAATGGCTTAGCTTATGGAGTTGTCAGTAACAAGTGACAAGTCACTAGTCAAACTGCGACAATTTCGATGACGCGGAGGAAGTAGGAGCAACAACAGGGGGACAGACCCCAGGAGGAAAGAATGAGTACATTCAGCTAACATAAATAGGCCAGGACAAACACCATTTGGGACCGTCAGATTAATTTCTCTGGACCGAGCCAGCCGGGAAAAAAAACCCTCAAGCCGACGGACGCATGAATGAGTTAGCACCCCCCCCCCCCCACCTCACAACAGAGCGACCGAGTTTTGCATTAAGCTAGGAGTGCCGATTCGAGCAACTGGTATGATGGCTCTGCTTGGAGCCGCTAGATGGCTCGCAGCTGAGCCAGCAAATGACTTCGCTTGGAGCAGGCCAATGAATCCGCTTGGAGCAGGCCAATGACTCCGCATGGAGCCGGCAAATGACTCCGCATGGAGCCGCCGAATGACTCTGCATGGAGCCGCCAAATGACTCTGCATGGAGCCGCCAATGACTCCGCATGGAGCCGCCAATGACTCCGCATGGAGCCGCCAATGCCTCCGCATGGAGCCGCCAATGACTCTAGTAGAGCCGCCAAATGCTAAATATATAGAGATGCATAACCAGTTGAGAGCATATATTCTCATGGACTATACAGATACCGTCATGTGTGCACCAGAAACATGAGTTGAGCTAGTGGGTGGAAGGGTGGGAAGGAATTTGTTTGGGAACACATGTTCCGCAAGTTGCACGCTCGAAAGTCCAAACAGCAATGACATGCAAGAGACATTGTACAGGATTTTGAAGGGCGCGTGCCCACGTGACTCGCGCATGCGTGCAGGTTGGGCCTGCTCGCTGGGCTGGCTGCCAACTTCCGTTAGCATGCTAACGCTCATGGAAAAAACCCGGGTGTATATCCCCAAGTGGCAACATGGCAGCATAAAATCAGGCACAACATATCTACAGCCAAAAAAGAAAGGGAAGAAGATGGACAGACATGAAGGGTGGGAGGGTGGGTACACTGGTGGGACTCAAAAAACTGACTGAAGAAGTCAGGCAAAAAGAACAGCAACAAAAGAGAAAACATCAGATGCCATATTCGCAAGAGAAAAAAATTGTTGCGCGAGAAATAATTTCTCACCTCACTCGCTCCGCTCGGCCGGCGAAAAATATAACTTCTTTACAATGTGCCTGAATTGATTCGCGTTCTTTTCACCACTACTAAATGCCTTTTTCCATTTTCCTCTCCTCCATCCTCCCTATTTTAGCCTATCCTTTTCTTTCTGTATCTCTCTCAATTGTAGGTCTTGCCAATCTGTTTTCTTTTTCTTCTTTTCTACCATCATATCAAACACGGAGCAGCTGGAGCTATTGTGTTTGGTTTTACACGTTGGGCTTTGTGCAGTGCGCTTGAAGCTGCACATCATTTCCAGTGACAGAGCGCTTGACGTTGTCCTCTTTTTTTTCTAATCTCAACAGAAGAGCAGAGGATGCCAGCTACCAACGTGTACCTAGAGCATCAGAGTGCACAGTCTCGGGGGAATGCTTCCATGGTGTCCGCGCACAGTGGTTGTAAATGAACCCTTGCCTCTTGGATATAACAACACTTGGAATGCACAACCCTAGCTCTACATGTGTTGGGTTGTGCAGTGAACGCCACACCTCGCTTCATTCAAGAGGTCGGGTTTTTAGCTTGCTTCCACTGTAGCCGGCGTGTCCGGATTTTCCTGTGCTTGTGTGTTTTCGTTTTCTGTAGCTGTGGATGGCGCTCTGGAGGAGCTGTCTGTGAATGCTAGCGCAAGCACGTGCATGGATCTGACCATCACCACCGTTAACCAGTCTGCTCTATTGCTGGGTAGTGCCGCGGGGCCAGTACCTATCGGTGCCGTTGTGCCGTGCCTGCGACAGATCATGTACCGGAACACTGCAGCGGAGCCAAGTCCTACCCGGCCTCGCCGTGTCCGCGTGGCCGTGAGCTCCGGCGATTTCGTTGTAGTGCAGGAGCAGATGGTTCATGTTGATGCCGTATGTGACGAACCCATCGTCTGGTTCAACTCCAACAGTTATGCAGAACTAACTAGTCCAGGCCTACACTTCATCAGCTCACTGAACAGTAGCGAGACATTGTTTGATATTTCGATTACGTACACTGAAATTACTTTGAAAGATGACAGTTACGATCAGGGTTTTGATGTGCTAAGTGGCCATAATCCGTCAGGTGCCGTTGATTTCGAACCAGTAACGGGTACTCTGGATATTGCCGGTACTCAGCATATAACTGTGTACTCACCAATCCTAGCTAACACTGCCTTCCGGTCAAATTCACAAAGTCCGGGCATCCCTATCCCATACCGTGATGTGGAGGTGAGACTTACGTACGACTGTTCTTGCAGTAGTAGTACATCTTGCCCTCCTGGTGGTACTGGCAATCGGCAAAAGACGTACCAGCATCGGTTTGGCATTGCTGACGAGGACACCGCTCCCATGGTCATGCTTTCTACAGCTGTAAGTACAATGGTCATGTGCTGTCTGTCTGTGTTATGTTTTGATTACAGATGCTTGTCAGGGCTGTGAGGAAGTGCATCCACTGTGCATGCTGGTCAGGGCTGTGAGCAAGTGCATCCACTGTGCATGCCGAGAGAAACTTGTATGCATTACTGCTTATCATTACATGCAATGAACACACTTTGATCATGTGTTATTACAAATTTAAGGAGGAACCCACCGAGAAACTGAATAGACGTCCATCGATAGCCAGCAGCATCCTGTCCAAGGAATTGTGCTCTGAGTCAAGTGGACCCTGGATTTTGAGCATGTTTCCTTTCCGAGATGCTCTGATGATGACATCACTAGTGCATTATTTTTGAAAAAGCAACATTGCTTATATAGAACCAATGACCAATGTAGGTGCAGGGGAACAAGGAGACTATGTGTATACTGACATGGGAAGAATAGTATTCCCATAGCTTAAATATGCCGCATCTATTGCAATCTGGGGGAAAAATAACGAAATATTGGAGCCGATAAACGAAGCTGTTGGCTTTTGGTATGGAATCAGTGTCTGCTCCAGAGCCGGGTGAGCCGGGTAATCCACCCGGTTGGGCGGCGCTTGGACCCGGTTGAAAATATCTCTTAATTTGCTGGCCAAAAATCCTATATATAGGGTTTGAAAATGTGTGCCTTTTATGCCGTTGTTATTGGTCATCACGACCAATAATAACGGCATAATGGTTTTCATGGTAGTTGTAAATATGTTTGAGGCATGAATTTTTACATTTTAGATTCATAGGGCGATAATATTTCTGATGAATACCCATATTCAGCAATAATTGGAAATTTGAGCATAATTGTTCAGCTGCTGTCATGGAAAGGACTGAAGCAGTGAATGTGCAGAAGAACATTGCAGGTGTGGCAAGGGGTGGTTTCATGATGACATATCGCACATGCCGTCATCAAACTACCAGTTTTAAGGATAAAGCAAGGTCCAATAAAATCTCAAATCCTATTATATAATTATAGGATTCGAAAAATAGGGCACAGGCCTTAGTAATATTGGGCAAGGAGATGAGCCTGAGATGTTAGTGTTTGAAAAAATAATTATCTTATTCAACTCTCGATATCTACGAAGACCTAGCAAGGAAGAATTGGTCACATATGTTTTGCTATTCTCATGCCACACCCATTTTGAGTTGAAAAATATGACCAAAATTATATATAGGATTTAGCAAATTAAGAGATCGTACCGGGTCACCTGTGACCCGGTTGGTACTTTACACTTTCGAACTTTGAAAGGACTGACTACATGGCTTGTATGTGTCAGATACTTCTTCTTCTTTCGTAATTTTTAATTCTTGTCCTCTCTTTTCTAAATGCGGCTTATCCATTCGCCTTTATATCATTGGGCCTAGTTCCCGTTTATTGTCCGAATTAAAATAAACCAACCAACCAGTTAAAGCATGTGACTCGGCTGGTAAGACAGCGCCAGGTACATGTGTACCCGGCTCCGACCCGGTTGAAATGGTTGCGCCAGGTACACGTGTACCCGGCTGTCCTACAATCCTAGAGCAGACACTGGGAATGTATTTAGTTTATGTTAGCCATAGGAGTACTTTCACCGATTCAATTAGATTTCAAGGACACCAAGTGATAGTATAATATTGCGGCATCATTATGGTGCTATTCGCAGTTTAGAGTAGATTGTTGTAGCGCAATTGAATTCCTCAGGCATGCTTCTCCTGTACTCCGTCCGAATCACTAGTAAAGGCAAGTAATAACTGTATATGGTGTGTGTGTGTGTGTGTGTGTGTGTGTGTGTGTGTGTGTGTGTGTGTGCGTGTGTGTGTGCGTGTGTGTGTGTGTGTGTGTGCGCACGTGCGTGCATGCATGTGCTTGTGGCCTGTTCAAAATTTCACTTTGTTCTATCGTTCCTGCCACCTGTCTCCCCCAACGCTGCAGTCCCAGGACATCGCCCTTAGCCACGTTGTTCGACCCTGTGATGACGGCAGCGCACGTACTGCTCTGTTTTCCAACGCCAGTATTGTCGATCCGGATGACACCATGCTCGACTTCGTAGTTGTGAATTTGACCAATGCTGCACAAGAGGATGAGTTCATCACTTTTGACACCCCTTCACTTCAGGTGTCGGTTCAGAGATCAAACACGTCCGATAATCTTGCCGTCCAGGAGGTCTTCGTCACTGAGTACACACTGAATTTTACAGGTGGTGGCAATGATGTCACAGCCTTCCAAACGGTGAGCTTCTCTCAGTTATAGTACAGGGAAGGGACGTCGAAGCCATGAGATTGGAGTAGTTATTGTGCAAATCATGATAGTCCTTTGGGATGATGGTGGGATGATAGTCCTGTGGAATGATAGTCCTGTGGAATGATATGATGGTCCTGTGTAATGGTAGTAGTGTGGGATGAAATGCAATAGTCCTGGAACTAACCTACTGGCATTGGTCAGCACTCGGTCTCGTCCAGTTCTCCACTTGTTGTTCGTATCACCCCAATGTACCAGACGGTGTGCATTCTTTGCATTCTTTTCAATTGCTTCTCTGCTGACAGGCGCTGCGCAATGCACGCTACGTCGTTGGTGGAAGTGTTGTGAGGCGTATCGGCGATGTTCGGGTCGTGACCGTTGTCGCATGGAAAGGTGGTCTTGAAAGTCCCGCTGCGACGGCGAGCATCACGTTGTCGAATCCTGCAACTGGGCCTTGCCTGACCAGAGTAGCGTACGTCTGTCTACCACACTGATTGTACCGTTACTTGTGGACTCCCCCGTCCGGATTAGGGGCCCTTTTTACTGTACTGATTTGTAAGTCTCCTGGAGGCACATTGTGCGTGCACTGTTCTACTGTAGGTTCTGGAAGTTTTTGTGTGAATGTAAAGTAAAACAGTGCACATACAATGAGCCTCCAAGAGACTTACAAATCAGAACAGTAAAACTCCCCTAATCCGCAAGGGGGGGGGCATTGGATTAGTGGAATTCCTGCTTCCCTTGAAACCACTCAAAAGTGATACCTCGTTGTACCTTTAACTGCAGCCAAAGCCAGTACAGAGCAGTACAGAGCAGTACAGAGCAGCAAGTTACGAATGCCAATGATTAGAAATGTACCTGTTATGCTTGGCTGCTGGTGCCGCTCAGAAACCTCGCGAAGCCCTATTTCCCTTCTGGCACACTCCAATACCTACACATCGATCAGAACTGACTGCAGTACATTTCTGAACACATGGGCATTGGTTTTGTGTCTTACAGACTCCAGTGAGGAAAACGCCTTGGCCGTTACTGGTCTGTGTGTTTACCCAAGCCATATTTGCAGTGCCAATGACATGAGCAGTGATAGCCTGCTGGTATGTTTTGCATTGATCACCGGCCATTGGGACCGTTTTGAGCATTACGACGTGTCTTGCTGGAGTCGGTACCGGTATGTTTGCTCTATTTCACTCCAATGCTTTCAGTGACATCACATACGTCGAGGATTCTGGCTCACTGGTCATACTCCCAGCTGACTATGAGCTGGGTACTGGGACGTTCTATTACTTGCACGAGGTCAGACTGGACATCGCCGATTTCCCCTACTCGCACAGCCTTAACACCTCGTTCATGGATACGACTACACTACAGGTCACACGGAGTCCTGTCAATCCGTCATCCAGCATCAGTCTGATGGAAAGTGCAGCCAGTCTTTACCAGTTCAACACCATGCACGCAAAGGACTTCCTTCGCAGTCTGGAGTTTTCTTCCACTGTACAGGAGCGTGTTCGTAACAGGTGAGTTGCAGTTGATTGGGCGTGGGAAATATAAATCTCAAATTGTATTGCAATTTAAATGAGGCGCTTATGGAACATGAATGCAGCAAATGGGAGTTTCGATCTTTGACCATTTTGGTGGTGGGTCGCATTTACTCACCTTCCACCGCTTTAGGACCCGCATCTGTGCCTGATCCTTAATGTAGTGGCATTCTTACACATGTGGACATCATGCGGACAACATGCGGACAACTAAATTCAACTGAGTCTCACGCGAACTGTGATGTTTTAATTTAATTTTTAAGCTGAGGTGTCTTGAGGTGCAATGGTTTCAGAGATAGGATTGTTCACCCATATGTCCAGCATTACTTTCAGTGTATGAATCAAAACATGCCCCCCATAGCTGCTTTTAAAACCCCATGCCTAATGGAAATGCATGCAGTGATTTGACAATCATGGCTAACATAGGTTTGAGTAAAAAAAGCCTGCACTTCTCTTCTACCACGTAGAACTTGCTGCTGAGCCAAGTGTGTGATGTCTACTCTTTGCCGGTCCAGCTCTACCCTCACCATCACGGTACTAGATGCCCTGCATCGGTCGGCCACCACGTCCTTCAAACTGACCGTCGAGCCAAGGAACGACCCTCCCGAACTTGCGACGTGCAGTCTGTGCTGTGAAACGCTCAACTCCATTGTCAGTCGCAACTTCTCCGTCGGTGACTTAGCCAACAGCTCTGTGGTACGTACAGTGAATTTGTTCCATGTGAAGTTCATCCAACATCCGTAGAGGGCTTAACTGATTTTTGTCCGATGATCGATTCAGTTCGTGAAATTCAGAGTTACGACGCAGCAACTGCTCATTCTTCTGTCTGTGTATTCTGCTCTTTGCCTTCGGCAAAATTTGCCGAAGGCAAAGAGCAGAATATACAGACAGAAGAATGAGCAGTTGCTGCGTCGTAACTCTGAATTTCACGAACTGAATCGATCATCGGACAAAAATCAGTGAACTCGTAGTTATGTTCGCTTACATGTACAGCTTTGGCGCTTGCCTAGTACATGTACCCACAGCTTTGGCGCTTGCCTAGTACATGTACCCACAGCTTTGGCGCTTGCCTAGTACATGTACCCACAGCTTTGGCGCTTGCCTAGTACATGTACCCACAGCTTTGGCGCTTGCCTAGTACATGTACCCACAGCTTTGGCGCTTGCCTAGTACATGTACCCACAGCTTTGGCGCTTGCCTAGTACATGTACCCACAGCTTTGGCGCTTGCCTAGTACATGTACCCACAGCTTTGGCGCTTGCCTAGTACATGTACCCACAGCTTTGGCGCTTGCCTAGTACATGTACCCACAGCTTTGGCGCTTGCCTAGTACATGTACCCACAGCTTTGGCGCTTGCCTAGTACATGTACCCACACACGCCTTTGGTCATGTGTCAGCAAGCCCCTCATTGTATCCCGCGGTAACGTTATCTTCACGAGGCGACACGGTATCGTCACAGCTCGTTACAGCGGCAAGCGCCAGTGGTGCCAGCTCTGGCGGTTGACACGGCTCGGACAACGGTCATTGTTTTCTTGTGATGCGGATGGCAGTCAGTGTAGATTAGGGCTGGTATCTGGGATAGCCCCATTCCTATCCTTCATGCTTGTCGTGCACTTCACGACAATGTTTAGTGGACTGCTTTAAAGTAATGCCTTGCATGACATCTGAGACGATCGATTATTCTCCCGTGAAAATGTTCTCCTGTTTCCTTGTTCTTTCCCATGTAACGTTATACAGGTAACTGACCCTGATGGAACTGGCCTACCGTATGGACTGATTGTGACGTCGATTAGCCAAGCTCCAGCTGATTCTAATCACCTGTGGCAATATAATGCGAACGGAACTTGGCTCAATTTGGTACGGTAACTGTTGCAGCGGGTGTGCCATATCATATGTACAAGTGCTGTGTATTGACAGTGTAGTGTTTTATAACCGGTGGGACTCTTATAGAGCAGTGGTGCAGGCCCGTAGCCCGCAAGGGGTGCGTGCACCCCCCAAAAAAAATGTCGACCTAGGTTCAGCATGCACATAATGACTATGAATGACATGCATTCTACACATATGCGGCCCCCGTGCACCCCCCCCCCCCCCCCCCCAAACGGGGGACCATCTACCTGGCGGTGGTATTGTGACTCTTATGGGGGTAGCACTGGCATTTTTGTGGTCTTGTCTGTGATCATGGACATCACTAATTACGAGTCCTCTCACCGGTTATTTGCTTGTCTGCTTCCTGAAAGTGTCTGCCCTGCATGCTGATCATTGCATTTGAGATATCTGTTTCTTTCAACCCTTACCCGTGCTTTTCGTTCCATAGCAAGCTGGTGCTGGCACAGTGCCTTTGGGAAAAGGGGAAGAATCCCTGTTCAACATTGCTGTACTTTGATCGTGCTTACCTGAAGTAGAGCCTACGACAGGACTGCTGTTGGTATGAATATTAATATTATTATTACCGGTATTTGAAACTCGGGTAGTGAGCCAATAATAAAAGTAGAAAGGAAAAGGACATATGGAAATGAGTTAAGAGTAACTCTTCCCCTCTTTGGTCTTTCCATAACCTTGAACCTTCCAAGTTGGAAGGCTGTCGGTTAGCGCTACGGAGATGTGTTGAAGCTAGGTGTCAGGACGTCGAATGTCTCAGTACTCTGTCAGTTTGTGCCTAGTTGTTGCACTTTCTGACTGTATATAGTATCTAGTTACGGTGGTGGAGAGTTACTCTTACCTCGTTTCCATATGTCCTTTTTCTTTCTACTTTTATTATTATTATTATTTTAACTGGTTTGAGGGAAAGAGACAAACGGGAAAAGTCTGAAGAAAAAATTGACTGTCACCACCAGGACTCGAACCAGGGACCCTCGCTTGTAGCCAGCGATGCTCTAACCACTGAGCTATGGTGTAGTCGTCATCCCAGCAGAGTTTATTATTATTATTATTATTTATTCATATTTGAATATCAGTATATCTGCTGGGACGACTGCTGGTGCAGCTCTGCGACGAGAGTAGCGTCTAGTTATGGAGGATAATATTGTAAGTTTACTTTGCTTCACTCCCAGTGCATGGACTAAAAGTGGCGAGCTACGTGCATGTCTGTATGTTCCTGTTCAGCCCCCGGCGTCAGTCAGTGATTGTTCGGTTGTTCTGCTGCCCACAAACGCCACACTCCGTTACGCAACGTCACCTTCGTACTCGCGAGACATCACCAGCACGTTGACATTTCAAGCATACGACTACAGTGTAGCTGGTGATGAACAGTCGGCAGATTTCTGTGTAAACGGAACTCTCAATGCTAGTAAGATTTGCTAAAGCTGCATGCCAATAAGAAGTATTGCATTCTCTGCGTGTGCGTCCATCAGTGTCTTGTGTTGTTGTTGATACGTGTCGCAATATTAACCTGAATCCTCGTCATTTGGATGTTGTACTCTTGTGTATACACATATTTGTTAGTTTGTGTGTTGGGAAGAGGACAGCAAATTGGTCCTCTCCAAACTGCTAGTTCCCTGGACGCAGTGGCGTTTATATGCATAGCAACACGTGTTGTCTGGTAACTACCATTATAATATCAACGTACATGTGCTAGTAACGTTATTACGCAGGAGAATCACTCACTGACATTATCACTTCGCCTGGGACCAATCTTCCTCCTTCCAAGGGTGCTTTCAGACTTGCATGCTATTGCAGCTTGATGGTGGCAGTTGGCCTAAAAAGCCCTTATCAGAAATGAAACCGAGTTATGACTTATGCAGTGCCGAGAGACATGTCCCCATGTTGCGGGCACGATGGTGAAATGGATGTAGGGCTGTACCTATCTTTGAATGTTCTGTCATCATGTTTGTTGTGTTGCATGTTCAGGTGCTGTTAGCACCAATTCAGCTCAATTTTCTCTCACCGGACCATACCTAAATCGTCGGCCATTGATCAATTCTATACATCCAACTTTGCTGTTGGACACAATAATGGAGGACATGCCATCAATGTAAGACCGTCCTTTCAGAATAATAATAAAATTGTCGATTCAATCCACACGTACTATTGTTGTCTGCGGATTTTACTCTCCTTGCTCCCAGCCCATGCCATCTCCACGCTTAGACAATGGACGAGATAAAGGGCCCAAAGGCAGCCACACAAGTCACGTTACTCCACAGCTCACATGTGTGAGCCCTCACTCACGAATGGGTCTACCTGTGTAGTTGGCATTTTGTGGAGCATTTTTCTGCGGTACGCACATGTTGCTGAGCGAAATGTAACAGTTACAGTGAAGTGATGTGTCACAACATACATATACAGTGATGTGATGTGTCACAACATACATGTACAGTGAAGTGATGTGTCACAACATACATGTACAGTGAAGTGATGTGTCACAACATACATGTACAGTGAAGTGATGTGTCACAACATACATGTACAGTGATGTGATGTGTCACAACATACATGTACAGTGAAGTGATGTGTCGCCATGAGTACACACGTGTGCGACTTCACGTTCATCTCGAGTGCATCTCAATACAAAACGTCCAACGTGTGTTCATGTGTTGATCTGAGCACGCACATACACACGTTTACATTCGCGTTGAGTGTATCAGAAATCGTTCTAGTAGTTTGGGAGGGTGGGCACGTGTGCACTACTTCTAGTTGTGTCACAGCTGTCTTGCTGTGCTTGGTAGAAGATTAACAATAACTCCATCGTTTCGTCTCTAAACGTTGAGTATCAATCTGCCACTGGAGGAAGTGCTTGCCACTATAAACGCATGCATTCAGTTTGAGACTAGTCATGAAGCCAGCGCTGTAATGGTGAACTCTGTTTTGATGCCCACAGCCCCGTCCCTCTCCTGCCCCAACCGTCATACTCTTGTGTCCTGATGTTGCTAACATTTTGATCTGTCATGTGGAAACTTACAATCGTCCGGTGTGTCCAGTGCCAATGCTGTTTTTGCTGTTCTCTGTGTCTTGGCGGTCTAGGGTTGGGAGAGAGGTGCAGCAGTTTGTGCGTACTGTCAGCTATGACCTAGACAACATGGTTCTTGGTATGGCCGTGGTATTTGCAGATGAGACGAATGGAATGTGGGAGGTACGTGATTGTGCAACACTAGAGCCTGTCCCTGCATGACATCAGCCAAGTCTCCTATGTACAACATTGCAGTCACATTGCCTGCTATAGGTCGTGCGGCTATCAAGGCAGATGATAAATTGTGGGTGTAAAACGGAAAGGTTCCAGGCTGTTCAAAGTAGAGTGCTCTGTGCCCAAGGGCAGAGCTTTGTACAACAAAAAGAAGATGAAAAGTGGATTGTAACTCCAAGTTTCACGCATGAGGAATCATCCTACAACATTGTGGGTTTACATTGATTGGTGTGATAAGTGATAACACTGTGATCTGGAGTGATTCGGTTACTATGGTGGGGTTACTCTCACACAGTGTGATTTCAGCTGGTTGCATACTGTGTTACACCTTAGAATCATACACTGTTCCAGTGCTCCACTTGCCTTCGGATCAATTAACTAGTTTTAGAAGTGACCCTAGTCATTCCGCACACCTACCGATGTACTGTAAAACCGGAAAGTCTAACAAGTCACAAAGTGTAACGTTTTAACGACCAATTTTTTTCGTTATTTGAAGAAACGTTATGGGGAGATGTCTGTGCATACAGATGGGTACCGGGTGGCCGGCCAGGTAGCTATCGTTAAACTTTCTGCACGTTATCATGCCAAAATGACAAAAACGTTTTAAAAACTTTTTGGTTTTACAGTACTAGAGTGTGTATTCTCCACACACGCCTGGCGATGCATGGCAATCCATCTCCGGGGGGGGGGGGGGTTCGAATGAGGAGCATAATCAGGGGGAGGGAGCTAGCACACACCCATCTAAACATGTGTAGTCCCGGCATTTCATCCTATCGTGTCTCGTACGTACACGCTTTTGGCATAAGCGCAGGAATAAGAAAAACACCAGCTCCTTGGAATTCCCATGGGGACATAGGTTTTGATGACACCCCGTACATCATGCGAATCTCTGCCATGGTGCTGCTAGGTGGGGAAATCAGCGAAATGCGAGAACGAACAAATATCCTTTCCCTTCATTCAGTATGACCGTCCGTTTCAGATAATCGATTGTTCGGACAGCTGGTGTTCTGACAGCTGGTGTTCTGACAGCTGGTGTTCTGACAGCTGGTGTTCTGACAGCTGGTGTTCGGACAGCTGGTGTTCGGACAGCTGGTGTTCGGACAGCTGGTGTTCGGACAGCTGGTGTTCGGACAGCTGGTGTTCGGACAGCTGGTGTTCTGACAGCTGGTGTTTGGACAGCTGGTGTTCGGACAGCTGGTGTTCGGACAGCTGGTGTTTGGACAGCTGGTGTTTGGACAGCTGGTGTTCGGACAGCTGGTGTTCGGACAGCTGGTGTTCTGATAGCTGGTGTTTGGACAGCTGGTGTTCGGACAGCTGGTGTTCGGACAGCTGGTGTTCGGACAGCTGGTGTTCGGACAGCTGGTGTTCGGACAGCTGGTGTTCGGACAGCTGGTGTTCTGACAGCTGGTGTTTGGACAGCTGGTGTTCGGACAGCTGGTGTTCGGACAGCTGGTGTTCGGACAGCTGGTGTTCTGACAGCTGGTGTTTGGACAGCTGGTGTTTGGACAGCTGGTGTTCGGACAGCTGGTGTTCGGACAGCTGGTGTTTGGACAGCTGGTGTTCTGATAGCTGGTGTTTGGACAGCAGCTGGTGTTCTGACAGCTGGTGTTTGGACAGCTGGTGTTTGGACAGCTGGTGTTGACAGCTGGTGTTTGGACAGCTGGTGTTTGGACAGCTGGTATTCTGACAGCTGGTGTTTGGACAGCTGGTGTTAGCTGGTGTTTGGACAGCTGGTGTTTGGACAGCTGGTGTTCGGACAGCTGGTGTTCGGACAGCTGGTGTTTGGACAGCTGGTGTTCTGATAGCTGGTGTTTGGACAGCAGCTGGTGTTCTGACAGCTGGTGTTTGGACAGCTGGTGTTTGGACAGCTGGTGTTGACAGCTGGTGTTTGGACAGCTGGTGTTTGGACAGCTGGTATTCTGACAGCTGGTGTTTGGACAGCTGGTGTTCGGACAGCTGGTGTTCGGACAGCTGGTGTTTGGACAGCTGGTGTTTGGACAGCTGGTGTTCTGACAGCTGGTGTTTGGACAGCTGGTGTTCGGACAGCTGGTGTTCGGACAGCTGGTGTTCGGACAGCTGGTGTTCTGATAGCTGGTGTTTGGACAGCTGGTGTTCGGACAGCTGGTGTTCGGACAGCTGGTGTTCTGACAGCTGGTGTTTGGACAGCTGGTGTTTGGACAGCTGGTGTTCGGACAGCTGGTGTTCGGACAGCTGGTGTTCGGACAGCTGGTGTTCTGACAGCTGGTGTTCGGACAGCTGGTGTTCTGACAGCTGGTGTTTGGACAGCTGGTGTTTGGACAGCTGGTGTAGCTGGTGTTCTGACAGCTGGTGTTCTGACAGCTGGTGTTCTGACAGCTGGTGTTCTGACAGCTGGTGTTCTGACAGCTGGTGTTCTGACAGCTGGTGTTCGGACAGCTGGTGTTCTGACAGCTGGTGTTCGGACAGCTGGTGTTCTGACAGCTGGTGTTCTGACAGCTGGTGTTCTGACAGCTGGTGTTCTGACAGCTGGTGTTCTGACAGCTGGTGTTCGGACAGCTGGTGTTCTGACAGCTGGTGTTCTGACAGCTGGTGTTCTGACAGCTGGTGTTCTGACAGCTGGTGTTCGGACAGCTGGTGTTCTGACAGCTGGTGTTCGGACAGCTGGTGTTCGGACAGCTGGTGTTCTGACAGCTGGTGTTCGGACAGCTGGTGTTCGGACAGCTGGTGTTCGGACAGCTGGTGTTCGGACAGCTGGTGTTCGGACAGCTGGTGTTCTGACAGCTGGTGTTCGGACAGCTGGTGTTCGGACAGCTGGTGTTCTGACAGCTGGTGTTCTGACAGCTGGTGTTCTGACAGCTGGTGTTCTGACAGCTGGTGTTCGGACAGCTGGTGTTCGGACAGCTGGTGTTCTGACAGCTGGTGTTCTGACAGCTGGTGTTCGGACAGCTGGTGTTCTGACAGCTGGTGTTCGGACAGCTGGTGTTCTGACAGCTGGTGTTCTGAAAGCCAGTGTTTTACTATACCTGGTTTGTTTGCAACCGGTCCGGCATGCAATCAGAAAGATATTTCTAGGCAAACGAAAATATGTTAGTCTGCCATCTAGACATGCGCATGTATAGTGCAGGCAGAATTCCTTTGTGTTTTCATTCGTGCCCTGACTCTCTTGTCTGCACACTGCTGTAGGTCCGAGACACGGGCGGCACATGGCAAGCAATCGTGTACAACGCCACCAGCCCTGCTTTGCTACAACCAACCAGCTCGTTGCGATTCACGCCCAGCAGAGATTTCAATGGCAACGCCAGCTTGACAGCTCACGCCTGGGATGTGGAGAGTAAGTCATTGACATCGATTGTCTTCAGCTTGCTATCCTTAGCAAACCTGCACTGGGTACACTCTCTCACGGACAGACCTGCACATCGCTTTTCAGTATAGGTCACGGTCTCTGATCACCACATACCAGTACACTCCCAAACAGGGCCCGATATGCCGGATAGTGTGCTGTCCTGACAGTATGCAGATTGCCAGCCCATTGATCCTAATCCCAAGTGAGAACATTTTGGTACCAGATTAGAACAAGCTAAGGCAGATGCCTAAAAGCTCTATGCATAAGCTAAGACAGATACCCCAGCTCTATGCATAAGCTAAGACAGATACCCCAGCTCTATGCATAAGCTAAGACAGATACCCCAGCTCTATGCATAAGCTAAGACAGATACCCCAGCTCTATGCATAAGCTAAGACAGATACCCCAGCTCTATGCATAAGCTAAGACAGATACCCCAGCTCTATGCATAAGCTAAGACAGATACCCCAGCTCTATGCATAAGCTAAGACAGATACCCCAGCTCTATGCATAAGCTAAGACAGATACCCCAGCTCTATGCATAAGCTAAGACAGATACCCCAGCTCTATGCATAAGCTAAGACAGATACCCCAGCTCTATGCATAAGCTAAGACAGATACCCCAGCTCTATGCATAAGCTAAGACAGATACCCCAGCTCTATGCATAAGCTAAGACAGATACCCCAGCTCTATGCATAAGCTAAGACAGATACCCCAGCTCTATGCATAAGCTAAGACAGATACCCCAGCTCTATGCATAAGCTAAGACAGATACCCCAGCTCTATGCATAAGCTAAGACAGATACCCCAGCTCTATGCATAAGCTAAGACAGATACCCCAGCTCTATGCATAAGCTAAGACAGATACCCCAGCTCTATGCATAAGCTAAGACAGATACCCCAGCTCTATGCATAAGCTAAGACAGATACCCCAGCTCTATGCATAAGCTAAGACAGATACCCCAGCTCTATGCATAAGCTAAGACAGATACCCCAGCTCTATGCATAAGCTAAGACAGATACCCCAGCTCTATGCATAAGCTAAGACAGATACCCCAGCTCTATGCATAAGCTAAGACAGATACCCCAGCTCTATGCATAAGCTAAGACAGATACCCCAGCTCTATGCATAAGCTAAGACAGATACCCCAGCTCTATGCATAAGCTAAGACAGATACCCCAGCTCTATGCATAAGCTAAGACAGATACCCCAGCTCTATGCATAAGCTAAGACAGATACCCCAGCTCTATGCATAAGCTAAGACAGATACCCCAGCTCTATGCATAAGCTAAGACAGATACCCCAGCTCTATGCATAAGCTAAGACAGATACCCCAGCTCTATGCATAAGCTAAGACAGATACCCCAGCTCTATGCATAAGCTAAGACAGATACCCCAGCTCTATGCATAAGCTAAGACAGATACCCCAGCTCTATGCATAAGCTAAGACAGATACCCCAGCTCTATGCATAAGCTAAGACAGATACCCCAGCTCTATGCATAAGCTAAGACAGACACCCCAGCTCTATGCATAAGCTAAGACAGATACCCCAGCTCTATGCATAAGCTAAGACAGATACCCCAGCTCTATGCATAAGCTAAGACAGATACCCCAGCTCTATGCATGAGTTGCAGTTTACTCGTGTACATGCATGCTAATGTCAGCTCCAGTGCATAATGTGCTAATTGTCTTGTACAAAGATTTTCTGAAGGAATTGCCCATGTCCCCGAATTTGTGTGTCTGTGTTGAACAGATATGGACTTTAGCGCTGCATCAAGTGACCATAGCAGCTTCTCGGCTGGCACATTCGGTGTCCTCACAACTGTTCTGCCTGTCAATGACCCGGTCGATGTGCTTCCGCAGAACTTCAGTATGTTGTATTTCTACTTCTTGTTGGATGATCCATTAAAGGTTCAAGGGTTTTTGCCTTATGATGAAGCTTTATCGCATATCGACACTGAAGTAGAACTTGTGATTGGGTTGCAAGTGTTGGGCACACAGACGTATACAGCTTCTTTTTGTCACTTGCATTTACGGATACTGCAGCTCCGGGCCGCGTGTGTGTTTCGTTCTGGCCACCAGGTTAGATGATTCAGAAAACAAGTCACTGCATGGTACAACAAGTCACTGCATGGTAGAACAAGTCACTGCATGGTAGAACAAGTCACTGCATGGTAGAACAAGTCACTGCATGGTAAAACAAGTCACTGCATGGTAGAACAAGTCACTGCATGGTAAAACAAGTCACTGCATGGTAGAACAAGTCACTGCATGGTAAAACAAGTCACTGCATGGTAGAACAAGTCACTGCATGGTAAAACAAGTCACTGCATGGTAGAACAAGTCACTGCATGGTAGAACAAGTCACTGCATGGTAAAACAAGTCACTGCATGGTAGAACAAGTCACTGCATGGTAAAACAAGTCACTGCATGGTAGAACAAGTCACTGCATGGTAGAACAAGTCACTGCATGGTAAAACAAGTCACTGCATGGTAGAACAAGTCACTGCATGGTAAAACAAGTCACTGCATGGTAGAACAAGTCACTGCATGGTAGAACAAGTCACTGCATGGTAAAACAAGTCACTGCATGGTAAAACAAGTCACTGCATGGTAAAACGAGTCACTGCATGGTAAAACAAGTCACTGCATGGTAAAACAAGTCACTGCATGGTAAAACGAGTCACTGCATGGTAAAACAAGTCACTGCATGGTAAAACAAGTCACTGCATGGTAAAACAAGTCACTGCATGGTAAAACAAGTCACTGCATGGTAAAACAAGTCACTGCATGGTAGAACAAGTCACTGCATGGTAGAACAAGTCACTGCATGGTAAAACGAGTCACTGCATGGTAAAACAAGTCACTGCATGGTAAAACAAGTCACTGCATGGTAGAACAAGTCACTGCATGGTAAAACAAGTCACTGCATGGTAAAACGAGTCACTGCATGGTAAAACAAGTCACTGCATGGTAAAACAAGTCACTGCATGGTAAAACGAGTCACTGCATGGTAAAACAAGTCACTGCATGGTAAAACAAGTCACTGCATGGTAAAACAAGTCACTGCATGGTAAAACAAGTCACTGCATGGTACAACAAGTCACTGCATGGTAAAACCACTGTAAAACAACACCAAAAACCTGCAGCGGAAGCAGATCAGCAAAAAGCACAGGGCGAACATGCCTATTGAAGTAAAGAATATCCCCTTATCTCTCTACTCTACTACTACTTACTGCTCACCATGTTCAGAAACGGAAAGAGCCGTAAGATTCTGTCGAGAATGTCAGTGCTCAGTAAAAATGCATAAATCAGGCTTGAGTCAGTGAATGTAGGCACCTTCCAACACCTTCACCTGTGACACACAGCTAGCACCGCTATTTTATGTTCAGCCAATATGGCCACAGGCCTTCATCAGTGCGTAAACGGGCATGTAGCAGGAAGCTTCAGTAGGTGACCGTTTGCACGTGTCAAAATGGTGTCTGTCTATTGTTTTGAATAGAGTATCGGCATGGCGGGAAAACAGACTCCTTTGGCGTGTAGGTTTTTGAGTGATGGTGGTCTTGGAGCCCGCAACGGATTGTTGTCGGCTGTGATATTCATCTCCCTGTCTGGAGATGGTCAGTTTGTGTCTTGCTTGTGTTGACTGAAACAGCTGTGGACTATACGGAGGATGGCGAAGCAGTCGTGCTGTTCCCCGACCTCAACATCACTGATGTGGACACATGGGAATGGTTCTTGTCTTTCAATCTATCCGCATCCCAGCCTGTAAGTTTGCTGGTCACTGTCATGGTCACTGTCACTGATATACTAGTCATATATACTCCTGTAATACAGGTAGTGTTAGCAATGGTCGAATTAAAAATAAGAAGAAAAAGGAGGAAGGCTTCTTGCAGTTTCGCAATTACAACAATACCGAATAAGAGCGGGTAGCTCTCTTCCTTTTCTCTGCACAAATCAAACAACACTTTCAACAGTTTAAGAGATTGCAATGTTTCGTTCTGTGCCCCCCCCCCCCATTAGAACATGGCTACTGTAAATATACAAATTTTCGGCAGCTATTTAATTTCGGCTATATTCGGCACCGACCCAAAAACGCCTAAATTAAAACGCCGATGAAATTTTTCACAGCATCTGTCGCACTATACCATGCCCTCTACCCCACGCCGAAAATAAATCGCCGCCGAAATGTCAAAAATCGTGAAGTGCCGAAATTTTGTATATTTACAGTATGTACTCTGCTGTATGCCAAAACATGCAGTATATATATATACACTACGAAGCGAAAACGTCATGTGCAGTGCATATGTTTTGATCAGACCTGCAGCATAGAGTTATGCAGCTATAGATTGTAAATTGTTTGGTGATTTTAGGGAAAGGATGGTTTTTGCTAAACTGTGACGGTAACCTCACCCAATGAGAGTTTGTATTCCTCGGATCAATATTCGCTGTACTGGCTTTGACTTGGGACACTGGTCGATAAAATGACTGATTGTATCACTACTAAAATTGGGCTGGTTTGCAAGTTGCTCAATTATTCCTTCATGACATCTCCCCGTTCTTCACTATCCAGGTTGCAAATGAAGCCCTCTAACTCATGCACATACGCACCTACACGCCTGTCCACAATTACCCTCCCCTCCTCCCCCCCCCCCCCTCGTTACACGCGTTCACATGCATATGCACACTTGATTACTCTGCTGTCATCTACAGAAGACTTTGACATCAGAATATAGAACATTGCGCTGAGTGCTTCCCGAGGTACTGCAAAAGCACTGCTCCACCTTTCAAATTCAAGACAAATTGATTGTTTTCCTTTCCATGATATTGCTGATCATTTCATTTCTTCATCTCACAGTTGCACGCTTGTGGACAGCCTCTGCCATCATCATTCAACATCACACATAGCCGTGGTGCAGGTGGTGAGCTACACATGCTGGGATCGAAGCGTGAAGTGAACTTCAATGGGTCTGCATCGGAACTCATGATGTGGTTGAGGTCAGTTTGGTCTTGCGTGTTGTGCCCTTTCTGTGAGTGTTGGTATGTTGTTTTCAATGCTGAATGTCAGTGAGATTATAGGATACAGCCTGCTATTGTCTGGTGTTGTTCGGAAAGGCAGGGTAAATTATGCACCCAGCTGTTCTGGCTTGTAGTTGTCCAGCTCTGCTGCTCTTAGCCAGTACATGTATACATGTATACACCTTGGATGTCACGATCAGGTCATGTAGTCATGTAGTGTGCTTGTTCCCAGTAGTTCAGCAGCCTGCTCCGCTATAGATGTATTGCAGTGTGCTTACACACAAGAGACAGAGAGAGAGAGAGAGAGAGAGAGAGAGAGAGAGAGAGAGAGAGAGAGAGAGAGAGAGAGAGAGAGACACACACACACACACACACACAATCGGTTGTGGCGACAAACGCGATTAGGCCGGCTGCAGGGACGCCGTAATGTCGCACTCGCCCCAGCACCATTCAAACAATTCCCTTTGGCAGTTCACGGCACGAACTTCAACAAAGCCCCGTGAATGCGTACTAGGGGAAGGCTAGACAGCATGTCTCTAGACATCAATAGGCATCGTATGAAAAGCCAGTCAATAGCACTAAAGAGCGAAAGCCTTCGTCACGGTTCGGTTTCACTCGCGCACCGGGCCCGAGCTGCCAGCGCAAACAAATGCCGGGCGCGAGCTGGCAGCACGAACAAACACCGTACTCACACGAGACCGCTGGGCCAACGGATGGCCACAGCCATCAAAAACAGGAACAAACCCATCCACGGCTCTTTCTCTTGCTAGCTGTGCTGCTGCGTGCATCCAACTGTTTTGCAATTTCTCCCTCCCACCCACGCCTCTTGATCTGTCCTAGCTCACTATTCTGGACAAATATTAATTCAATTGCAATGAAGCGCCGGGAGCCGGCGGGGGCATTCGGCGGCTTGGTCTGATTCCTAGCTTGTTGGTAACCGGCTTGAGGTTTCCAATGTTGCTATGACAACGTGCAGTCATGCGCAGGGCCACCCAACATGCGTTGGGGGCCCAGGAAAGACAGAAACGCGTTGCTAGGCAACAGCAAAAGCGCTCAGCGAGTATCACGTTACTCATGCAGCGCACACGTTGGCTTAGGGTATCACGCTACCCTTGCGCTGCGGGTACCACATTGCCCCTCGCTGGAATCAGACCCGCGCCCCGGATACCTTGCGCTGGCCTCCTGACGGCCAAACTCAACCAACTTGCGCGCTGTGACTGGGGTTGTGCATGCCTTAGCAACATAATGTGGCCCAGGTCGGCAGACTTTCAATTAGCAAAGCGAGCTACTCAGGCCAGGGCGCATGATCACTATTCGCAGCACTTATCGTCCATGCAGCAGTCGGGTTAAACACACACACACACACACACACACAGACAGACAGACAGACAGACAGACAGACAGACAGACAGACAGACAGACAGACAGACAGACAGACAGAGAGAGAGAGAGAGAGAGAGAGAGAGAGAGAGAAAGAGAGAGAGAGAGAGAAAGCTCAGTGTGCTTGTTTTATTTTTTCCATTTCTGTGCTCTACATTCGCCATCTAGATCGTTTGAGATTGTAGAAGCGTCGAACAACGAATTAAACTTTGACTTCCTATTGCTGGAAGTGAGTATCACGGAGAAGGAGAGCAGTATGCCGGCCGAGCTGGCATCAACTGTTCAGATCACCCACTCCAATGATGGGATGATATCTATTGGGATTCCAAACACTGATTACATCTTCAAGTACACCGAAGATAGTGGATACGCTACGGTCTTTGCTGGCAATCCTGTTCGACTTTCCGACAACGACTGTCCACCAATGCTCTCCGAAGTTGTCATCCGACTTCATCATGCAGATGGTGAGCACAATTTGATGAACGTCACATTGCAGCCTGGGATCCTGACGAACGAAACTGATCACCCCAATGGCCGTACATTGCAACTCACCGGTAGTGCTTCAGCAGCCGCTTATGAACAGGTGAGAGTGCTTGGCGATGAAACAGAATGGTTTTCACACAACAAGTAGGAGCCTAAAAAATGGATTAGTCTGGGAAGTGAACTACTCTGATCCTTTGAATGTGAACTTCTCCCAATCCTTTCCAAATAAAAGGAGTTTCTCTATATGCCTACACCATTACACAACTACCTCACCCTTCCCCGCCTGTTTTAAAAAGAAAAGTTTAAACAATTTTCATGGCTGCATCCTCCAAAGTTTACCCAAGACCAGGTCCACATGTCGCAGATTTGGCGAATTGGAACTGACGGCATGCTTCATTGTATGTCTTGGAATTTTTCTCCCTACTGGCGAGAAGTCATGTCAGCAGCAACAACACTTGTGCTACTCTGATTGCCGCTGGGGAGGGTTGAGTCCTGTTGCTTTCTCCAACTACATGTGAAGAATTTGCAAAACAAAAACTACTCTTTCATCAGTTTTTGGATACGTGTCAGGTGCATTTGTATCGAAATCCATATTTTGGTAGAGATTTTGAAATGATTCTGGCTGGGTTTTGTGTGTTAAATTTTGTATGTATGTGCTACTTTTCTCTTGTGTTTTCGTCCTGGCCAGGTCTTGAACTCGTTGACCTACATGTTTGATGATAATGAGGAGCCCACTGACCGAATTGGCAATTTCTCCATCCAGGCCTTTGATGGTCGCTTCTACAGCGACGAACTGAGCGTCACGCTGCACATCATTCCAGATGTTCCTCCAGTTCCGGTACTGTTGCTGGACTCTGGCAGTGAGGATTTCACAACGGTGTTCAGAGAGATTGCAGAGGAGGACGCCGGCAATGCCAGCAGCTATGCAGCGTCCTTGACAGGGGTAGTCAGCCTGACTACTCTAAATGTTGGCGACTTTGTTCCTGCATACGTCTCCATTGAGCTGGAGCTGGCTACCGTGCCGGCTATTAACAATGAAACATTGCTGCTTGATGGTACTGCCAGCTCCTCGCCGTTTTTCATCAACATTACCAACAGCACGCTTGCGGAATACGAGCAGGCATTGCAAACGGTGCAGTACATTAACTATGCCAAAGAGCTAAGTGGTAGCAACAGAACGGTCCGGTTCCTAGCGTGCTATTCATCTCATCCGATCTGCAGCAGGCCGGTGTTCACGATGATCCGATTCATGCCAACCAACGATGCACCTGTTGTCACGTTCGCCATGCCCAGCTTCACGTACATAGAGGATGAACAGTTTCAAGCCGTCATCGGTGACTTGGAGCTGTCTGACTCCGACAGTGTTGTACTGGCCAGCGCTGTGGTTCGCGTATCCGGCCTGGATGCAACCACCGAGCAGGTCAATGTTACACAGCCAGACGAAGGCATAACGATATCGCCGGTTCAGAACAACGGTACCCAGCAGTTGCATTTCAACCTGACCAGGGCCACTGACCAGTCTCGAGATCTCCTGCGAACAGTCGTATTCCGGCATGCGACTCACACGCCACCGCCACAGGGTCAGCGGACTCTCTGTGTCACGGTCACCGATAATGACGGTGCTGCATCACTTACAGTTTGCAAGATCATCGTGCTACAAGCGGTCAACGATGCCCCTCTGGTATTCCTGACGTTCACCGACACGTTCCAGGAAAGGAACTATGCGACCAGCTTCACCGAGGGTGATGCACCTGTTAGGATTGCGGGTGAAAATGCTACAATAGTGGAGTTTGAAGGTCATGATATCATGAGCATGACGGTAACACTGACAAATGCTCTCGACAGTGACGAAAAGCTGACATGGGACATGACCATCTCCAGCCCAATGGTCACTACAAGCAGGATTGCTGGACAAGAGTTCAGCTTGCAAGCCACCGGCATAGCATCGGCAGCAGAGTACTCACGGCTTCTGCGCACCATCGCGTATGACAACCCCAGTCAGCGCCCAGAACCCGACACACGCTTGATCACCGTAGCTGCCACCGATATTCAGAATGGGACGTCACTCAGTTCCGCGTGCACAGTGAGCGTGACGGAAGTTGACGATCCAGCCGTGCTTGTGCTGGACCCTGCAGCACACACGTCTGGCACTAGTAATGTGAACTTCACTGAGGAGGGCAGTGCAGTTAACTTGTACCCGATGGCCGCATACCAGGACCTGGATGATATGTATGTCGACTATCTGCGCTTGGTTTTGACAGGTGTGCTGGACACCGGTGGAGAACACTTGCAGTTGCCATACACTACGTTGAATGCCACAGTTCACGGCGATAGCATCACGTACATTGCGACGTTTCCCAATCCAGGACTGAACATCAGTGACACCAATGTGTTGCTCAGGAGCCTCCGCTATATCAACACGCGTCCGGAACCGACTGCGGGTCAGCGCTGGGTTTCCGTGCTGCTGACCAATAGCCGCCCAGCCACTGTCAGCAGCTCCAGCACAGTCACCGTGGTAACGGTCAATGATCAGATGCCTGCGTTCAACACCAGTGCTTTCAGCATGGATGTGGTGGAAAACCAGCCGGCGGTTCAACTGCTCGATCTTGCCCTGTACGTTGAAGATGGTGATCGCGATGCGTTCAATTCTGTCCACCACGAATACACGATTGTGTCCTGCACCCCGCAATGCATGTCAAAGTTCAGCCTGAGCAGTGCGGGTCTACTCAGTGTTGACCAGGCTCTCGATCGCGAAGCCGTTCCTCGGTATCAGATTATTGCCCAGGTCGTTGATAATGCCTACACTGCGGGAGGATCTGGTTCCGGTTCTGGGCAAGGGGACGCTTCAACGGCTATTGTGACTGTGAACGTCAGGGATGAGAACGATGTGACACCTAGTATACAACAGATTGGTGGACACGCAGTTCAACAGGCGCTGGTCACAATTCCAGTTTACGAAGGCTCACCTCTTCATCTGCCAATCATAGCCGTCGATATGGACGAGGGTAGCAACGCCCAGTTGACCTTCAGCATTCCTGCCGTGAGTTGGTTGTCGCTCAGTGTCAACCAGACAACTCGAGCGGTTCAGTCACTGCATCCTTTGGATTACGAAAACGCAACCAGTGTTGTGTTCAATGTCAGTGTGAGTGACAATGGACGGCCACCTCTATCATCTACTGTTCTTGTGACCATCGCCATACTGGATTTGAACGATAACCTGCCGACGATAACCACGCCAGTGACAGTTAATGTCTGTGAAAACGAGTCGCCCGGTCATGTTCTGTTCTCGGCTAGTGCGAGTGATGCGGATAGCCTCGATGCTGGATTGCTTCGCTATCGCCTGCTGAACCTGACCTCTGTACTTAGTGTCAACACCACTACCGGTGATGTGAGCTTGCGTCACGCCGTCGACTATGACTTTGGCCCCAGCCTGTATACTGTTGGAGTGGAAGTGGTAGACTCTGCTAATCACACCGACTCCAGTACAACACGCATCAGGGTGCAGAACACTAACGATGTGCAATCGGTAGTGTTTTCACCGACGGTGCACGTCGATGTCCGCGAGAGCGACGGACACGATGCCGTCATACTCACTGGCGACGCGATCAGGCGAGCAGTGACGTTTGGCGACCGGTGTCTTTGTCAGGAGTGCCCTGTCCGAAGACCGTCAAGCTGTGATTGTGATTTGAACCTAACTTTGGCCGACGTGCCCTACTCGCTAGCTGTGCTCAGTCACACAAGAGAGTTCTTCATTGACCCTCCACAAGCCAACCTGAATGAAATACGATCCATCAAGCTGAACGGCAGCTACAATGATTTTGAGCAACGTCAAGGAAAACCGTACAACATCGGCATTCTCTTGCGTGATTACGACAGCCAACCAGACTCTGACACCGGTATGATCACTGTCAGCCTAGTGGATGTGAACGATAACCCACCGGTGTTTGCCAGGAGTTCCTTTAACGTGACAGTTCGGGAGAGCCTAGCACCGGGTCGTTCTGTGCTGGAGCTAAATGCTACGGATGCCGACAGTGGCGCGAACGGAATGATCGAATACACTATCGTGTCAGCCACTACAGCAGACTTTCACATTCCTCCCGGCGGCAGCAGCTCTCTCATCTTACAGGGTCCACTGGACAGTGATGTTGCTGGTGGTCTGCCACAGTTGCGCATTGAAGTTGCTGCCAGCGACCTGGGCAGTCCCAGCCTGAACAGCACTGCGCTGGTCTACATAACAGTCGCGGATGTCAACGATAACCCACCTGTGATTCTTAATCGTGACAATCTTATGTTTGCTGTGAGAGAGGATAGTCTGTCTGCTACTCAGATAGCCAGGATCAATGTGAGCGACAAGGACGTGGATACGGACAACAAACAGTTTCTCTTCTTCTCCAGTGACATTGACTCAGTGTTTGACATCTCTCCTGACGGAACACTGACCTTGATCTCCGCCGCTTTGGACCGAGAAAGCCAGGCTGAGTACACATTTAATGTGACTGTTGTGGATGAGGAGCAGTGGCTGGCGAATGCACCACCAAACTCATCCGAACTTGTCCCGGGAGTTACTCTCTTTGACAGTGCACTGGTGACGGTCGTTGTCGAGGACGTCAACGACAATAGTCCGACATTCACCAGTCTATTGCGGGTCTTCAGCGTCAGTGAAAATGCCCGTCCTGGTGACAGGGTCACTCGCATCACAGCAGCTGACAGGGACGCAGGCCTGAATGCGCAACTGAGATTTTCCTTGCTCGGTAGTAGCGGCTCTTTCAATGTCACCTCAGATGGCTGGATCTTGGTCAGTGGTGCGCTGGATGCCGAAAAACAAACTCAGCACACACTGACCATTGTTGTGTACGACAGTCCTGCCACAATGCAGCCTCGCAATGCAACCACCCACGTCACGGTGAACATCACAAATGAAAACGACAACGCGCCTGTCTTCAACCAGAGCAGTTACTCTGCCAGTCTGCCGGAGCACTCTGCTTCTGGTACACCCATATTGCGTGTCCTCGCCATTGATGATGACTTGCATCCGTTTGACAGTGTTGCCTACTCCATCCAGCGTGTTTTGCCACCTGAAGCAAGCATGGCCATAGAAGTTGATGCATGGACTGGTGATGTGCGTGTACTGGATCACGTTAGCTTTGATAGAGAGATGTTGCCTCTGGGCATAGTCCTGGTCATCATTGCTAACGATAGCGCAAACATCGACAGCACCACGGTCAACATCATGCTGGGCGACATTAACGATTCGCCTCCTCAGTTCAGTCAGATGCAGTACTTCCTCAGGGCGCACGAGGACTTCACACCGGCCGGCATGGGTAGCATGTGGCGGTATTCTCACTTGCCCGTGGTCAATGGGGCCGATGTTGTCGCCCAGGATAGTGACTTAGCACCAAACAATGACATCGTGTATGCATTCAATGCTACACTGCCAGCAGACTTTCCATTCAGCATTGAAAGCAGTACAGGCAGGATTTTCCGCAACAACCACTCGTTCATCGACATAGAGAGTGGTCCGCAAGATTACATGGTAACGGTGATTGCCTCCGATCCTCACGAGGACATGCTCAGCGATTCCGCCATTGTCCTCATCATGGTGAACGACATCAATGACAATCGCCCGCAATTCCTTGTCCAGGACAGCACGTTCCGTATTGAGGAGAATACGAACGACTCTTTGAACCTCACCGCCGTTGATGCAGATATTACACCCAGCTCAATTCACTACTGGCTTTCCAACGACAGCAGTAGCAGCGCCAGTCTGTTCTCTGTAGACTCTGCAACAGGGAAACTCACAATCACTCCCCTGGACCGGGAAGTGAGCAGCATGCACGTCATCAAAGTGTATGCGGAAGATAGTGGTCTGCCATCTCTGACTGCAACAGCCACACTCACAATGGTGGTCACAGACCAGAATGACAATGCCCCCGTAATCAGGGCAGCGACGGACATAATTACTGTCTCAGAATCCTACAAACCCCTGTCTTCACTCGACTTCCGCATCAATATAACGGATGCAGACGCCGGCAATAACTCGGAAGTGACTCTCACACTTGGTGGCACCAACCAAGCCTACTTTTCCATCAACGCAGATGCAATGGTTTCCTTGGCTCAGTCACTGGATTTTGAACAGCAAGTACAGTACAACTTCACAGTCATAGCCACAGACCAGGGTCATCCTCAGATGAGGAGCAACAAAACATTTCTAGTTTTGGTTCTGAATGAGAATGATGAACCACCTCTTGTCGCTATCACTCCGCTGGTCACAGAAATCCTTGAAGAAGACTTCAGCACCAATTTACGTCCCGGTATCCAGCTTTCTGACGTGGACATGCCCGTTGATCCGGCCTTTGCATCTGCACATGTGAATATTGTCAGCAGGATGTCCGGTGCTGCTGGTAGTGCGCCATTCCAGTGCGAGTCTCCAGAAAACAAGGAAGAAAAGGTACGCAGCTGTGGCTTCAGCGACAGCGTGGATTATCGTCTGGAAACACCCACTTCGTTCTCTGGCAGCAACTCTGCGTTGCGCGAAAGTGTTGGCAATCCCATAACTACGTCGAGCCTCTTCATAGCTTTGTGGATCAACATGAACAATGGAATTCCGTTGCAGAATATGACCATTGTCTCTTGCTCTCAGTCTGGCTTGGGTCTGGATGTACTTTACAACGTGATGTGTGACTCTACCGGCTCACTGCTCTTCCAGTATGTCAACGCCTCTGCTGTAAATGAAGTGGCTCTCTTCCCAGGTATTTGCAATGGGTTCCTGGGCACGTGGCAGCACATATCCCTGCAGGCAGTGCCGCAGAGTTCCATCTCCCTGTACATCAACGGCGTGTTCATGGATTCACAACCGTTCTCGTCATTCTATTTCCGCTCATCTCGCTTTGTGGTCGGTGGCGGCCCAACATTTGGCATCAGTAGATCTCCAGTGGCTGACTTCTTCAACGGCACACTGTACGGTCTGGTGGTCAGTATCAAGGAGCAGCCTGTTGGTCTCCTGCCCTGCTTCATAGAGTGCGGTGAGGCATTGGCACTGTCGCAAAGTCCTCCGTCAGTGCTTAGCGTACGCTACAGCAATGGTGCGTTGCGGATCAGCGGCAATGCCAGCAAGACTGAGTATGAGAGCGTGTTGAACTCTGTGCGTTATGTAGACACAGGTGATGAGCCCCTGTCCAGTGGTGCGCGCCAAGTCACCTACCGTGTATCCGACGGTGTGCAGGACAGCAATACCGTGGTGCAGAACTTGACTCTGATCTTGTCCAACGAAGCCAGCCCTGTCCTCCTCTTGGACGGCACAAGTCTGAATGACTACCCGGTTGAGTTTACAGAAGGCTCTACTGTGCACGTACCACTGGCCAATCAGACAAGCCTATCCCTGACTGACACGGACAGGGGATTGTTCTACTTCTCACTGACAGTGACATTGGCAGCAGTTCCTGATGGCACAGATGAAGAACTTACTGCCGACCGGGCACTAGCAAACCACAACGGTATCTCCGTCAACTATAATGTGACGCTGGGAAAGCTCACGCTGCAGGGTCATGTGTCCGTGGATCGCATGCAGTTGGTGGCTCGTACCATCACATACCATAATCGTGCCGATGAGCCCAACCCGAGCAATCGCGTTGTTCAGTGGCTGGTCGAGGAGTCGGATCAAGACGTCGGTCAGATTGGACGTGCAGTGCAGTCCAGCACTGCTGTGAGGTCCGTTGTAAACGTCCTTCTCGTCAATGACAAGCCACTGCTGACACGCTCATCAAGCGCCGCCGTACTCACCTATTATGAAATGCAAGTGCAGCTGCCAGTGCTGAGGAGTTTGAGCATCAGCGACAGTGACAACTCCACTCTCAGTTCAGCTAGCGTCTACTTTGTGGGTGTGGTGACAGGGAACGACACCATTGCGGTTGTTACCAGCAGTTCAATCGGCTCTCAGTTCATGATCATCACCGACGGATTCAACATCACTATTCACGGGCAGGCTAGTATATCGGATTACCAGGTGTTGCTGAGGACTGTGTCCTACATGCACGCTGGCTTTGAAGAGAATGTGCCCACAGCACGGCAGATAGCCGTGTCGGTGTCGGATGGCTTGGACAGCAGTGATGTTTTCCTCACTAGCGTGCGCTTCACTTCAGTGAACGATCCGCCGGTAGTGGATCTAACCGGACCCGGTGATACTGTCAGAGATAGTTCTGTTGATTATACTGAGAATGGTCTGCCGACCAGACTAACTGCATCCGCTGGCTCCACAGTGAGTGATGTTGACAATGCAACACTGGCGTATGTTCTCGTCAGCAAACCCAGCGTGGGGCTGATCTTCACTCAGTCTCCTTCTTTCCCCGCCATGCTCCAGTTCAGTAGTCTGAATGGCACACACTACCAGTTGACACCATCCAGCGCAGGAACCTTGACACCACCCACACCCACAGACTTCTCCAGGGCCATAGACACATTGCTTTTCGAAGTGAGGCAGGATGAGATATCACTGTCCGTCGGAGATACATTGGTTCTGGAGCTGGTTGCCTATGATGGTATTGCACACAGCGTGCCGGCTAAGTGCACAATCAACATTATTCGAGTTGACGATCCTCCTCGCCTCAGTCTCTCTGATCAACCGGATTTCTCTACTGATGTCATTGAGATGTCACAGTCACGTACTGAGAGTCACATCAGCAACAGTTCACGTGTGCTAGATCCGGACAGTCTGCTTTTCAGTATCTCTGTAGTGATTTCCACTAGGCTGGATGGATTTGACGAGTTCCTTGTATGGCCGCCGTTGCCTGGGCTGGTGATTAGTGCCAACGACAGCAACAGCATGTCTCTAACAGCGTCTGGCCTGAGCGATGCGGAGGTTGAGATGTTCTTGGACGGCGTTCGTTATGTCAACAAAGCCGACGAGCCAGCCGTAGGCCTTCACGAGATTAATGTGTTACTGCGGGACGGCAATGGGAACTCGACAGCGTCTGCCAAGCTGAACATAATTGCTATTAACGACAATCCACCACGTTTTGTCACCAGTGGCGTGTTTGGCGTTACAGTTTCTGAGAACAGCGTCAGCAGTTCATTGTACACTTTCAGTGCCACCGATGCTGATGCTAAGAACATGCCAACCACATTTGAGTTCTCCATTGCCGACGTGTCAACAGATGGCAATTTTTCGGTCGACCCTCGTTCAGGTGTGCTATCTCTTGGTAGTGGGCTGGATGCGGAGAGTGCCAAGGTTGTTTTCCTTACCGTCACCGTCAGCGATGGGGACTTCACGTCGGAGGGCAATTTCACCGTCAACGTGGCTGACGTCGACGACAACAACCCAGTCTTTGACCCCACTGCACAATACTCCGCTACTGTACCAGAGAATACAACCGTTGGCACTTTCCTGTTCCGTGCCACAACTACCGATGCCGACATTGACCCCATCAACCAGTATGTGGAGTACGAGTTGACTCCGCTCATGACCGAGTGGGATGGAGTATTCCGTGTGAACAGAACGAATGGCGTTGTACATCTTTCCGCTCCTCTTGACTTTGAAGGAAACTTTAATTCGTACGAGTTCTACCTCACGGCCCGCAACCCAGCAAGTGGTCATCAGAGCCAGCAGCTGTTCACAGTAAATGTCACGGATGTCAATGACAACTGCCCGATGTTCCTCTCAGTGCCGAGATCGCTAAGCGTTCTGGAAAATACAACAACGGGATCAACCGTTGCGTCGATTAGATTTGCTGATGCCGACTCATCCTTGGCATATCAGATTCCCCGGTTTGCTCTGCGGCAAAGTCCACCTTCACCTCAGTACTTTCAGATCTTTGAAGTATTGGGTACTTTGGAAATTGTTGGCTCGCTTGACAGAGAATCGGTGGATACCATTGTGCTGAATATCTCCTTGACGGATAGTGATCCACTGGCCGATTGCCCTGTACTCTATCAGGAAATCACCATCAACATTGACGATGTGAATGACAACGATCCTGTCGTGACGCCATCAGTAGAGAGAATGCTGGAGGAGCTTGCCATCGGCGAGTACTTGTTCACAGTGGTAGCCAATGACAGTGACCTGGGTAGCAACAGTGTGCTGTACTTTGAGCTGCTCAACCACGCCGACGTCTTCACCATCAACCGTACAACTGGCGATGTCAGTTTGGCGAGCACTGTTGACTTAGACTCTGCAAAGGTACCAGTGTATGAACTGAATGTTAGCGTAACAGATGAAGGACAGCCGCCGAGATCTGGTCAGGCCACGATTACAATCAACGTGGAGGACATCAATGACAACCGTCCCAATTTCTCACAGCCGTTCTACTCTTTCCAGATCCTGGAAAGTGCTTCCATTGCAACAGTCTTTGGGAAAATCATGGCCAGCGATGATGATTTCACCCCTCGGTTCAACGCCAGGACATACTCCATTGACGGGACTGTCTACCGACCATTCAATGTAGATCATGAAACGGGCGAACTGTCGGTTAGCGGACGACTTGATCACGAAACAGCCTGTGTGTTTACGTTCAATGTGACCGTTGTGGACAGCGAAAACCTGGCCGATCACGCTCGCGTGGAAGTCATTGTCCTAAATGTCAATGAGGTAGCACCTCAATTCAACCAACCGCAGCTAGCAGAGCAGATGTCATTCCCCGAGAATTACACGGCCGGCTCCAGTGTCCTCTCCCCCATCGTTACCGACGGCGATGGAGGATGCTTTCCCGTTTCTCTACAGCAAAGGTTTGGTTATTACGAAGATGAGTTGCTGTATACGATTGACAGTGTGTCCGGAGGAAAGTTTGCAGTGAACTCCAGCACTGGTGAGATGACATTGCTGACAGCACTGGATTACGAGCAGGACGACAGACATTACAACATCACAGTTACGGTGAGCGATCAGCGAGGTCGTTCACAGAGTGCCACCTTCCGTCTCGAACTGCTAGATGTCAATGACAACTGCCCAGTTGCACAGCCGTCAGTGTTCTCCTTCTCCGTAGAGGAGAACTTCATGTCTTCCGTGCAGCCCGTGCTGACTTTCTCTGACACCGATGAGGACAGTGCGGCCTTCTCTCAAGTCGTCTACCGTGTGGTGTCCACTTCTTCTGCGGTTGCAAGTCGCGTGAGCATCTCTGAGGCATCCGGTGAGGTGTACATCGTGAGTCCATTCGACTATGATGTTCCTGGAGGCCAGCTAGTGCCCGTGGTTTTCAGTATTAGCAGTCGACTGCCCAATGATCCAGCCACTCGCAACTGTCTCACCCTACTGAACGGCTCAATTTACGTGAATAACACGAACGATATCACGCCCAGCATTAGTATCATGCAGCGAGTTAGACCGTATATGAATGGCCAAGAGCCTCTGATGCCTTTGCAAGGCGTCACCGTGTCCGATATGGATGGCATCACAAACCTAACCGCCACCGTCAGCCTTCATCGTAACGTGACGGAGACGGCACGGTGTGCACAGTCTCATTCGAAGACGTTACAGTGCGGAATTGAGAACTCCATCGATGCCCTCTCTCTAGCAGGCCTTAGTAATACGGCTTCAGCACGCATGGTGAATGCCACAATTGACCTGTCAGGTAGACCGGAGTTTAATCATCCGCTGGCAAGCTTGACCGTGTCAATGTGGATTGCTAACACGAGAAAAGAGTTCCTCCCACTGTTTGACATGCCTAGTGCCTTCTCTGCTTTCCTTGATGAAGATCCGTTCAATCAAGTCAATGAACTGAAAATTCGGCGAAATGGCGTGCAACTGCCGGATGTTGTTTTGCCAGGCACAATTCAAGGCTTGTTCCACCTTGCCGTGACGTACAGCATGGCAGACTGCACCGTGACTGTACGCGTTGATGGTAACATCATCACCACGTTGCCTGCTTGGTCCGATTGTGCCTCGTCCACGTTTGGTGGCATGTTCCACATAGGCCAACATACACGTGTGCCAACGGAAGTGTTTGACGGCGTCATGCGTGGCTTGTCATTGACAGCAGACTTGCATGATACACTGCTCTTCCAGTGTCTAGGTATGTGCGGTGAGAGCATTAGGATCCTGCCCGGCAACACTCCAAGCAGTGTCAGCGTGCAGCACATGCCGAGTGGGTCTGGACTGCCCTCCTCCATTTCACTCTCCGTCCAACCTGATGCGGAGGCAGATCTGTCTCGTGCCCTCGCGTCGATTGAGTACGCCAACCTGCACGTTCCACCTCTCTCACAGCCGCGCTACATTGAACTGAGTGTGTACGATGGACTGAACATGTCTCCCGTTGAAACATTAGTAGTGGATGTTGTTGAACACAACACTGTGGCAGCCAGGCTCAGCCTCGGCATCAATGAATCCACTGTCTTTGTCGAGTCCATCAATGGTGCCCCGACCAGCCCAGTGTCGGTTGTAAGCAGCAATGCTCGCATCACCGACATGGACGTCTACCAGACAACACTCAGCGCCATCACTGTTCTCCTGTATCCACACCGAGACGGGGACGCAGAGTTCCTCTCGTTTGGAAGCGGGCTGCCTGGGCTCAGTACGGGCGTTACCACTACTACGATCGGAGATGACATGTTGATCCTGCAGGGACCGGCACCACACAACGACTTCCTGCGGGTCTTGCAAACTATTGTGTACAATAATAGAGCAGATGAGCCATCGGATTACCCGCGTACAGTGGCGCTCACTGTGCATGATGGAAACTTTACGTCCGTAACAAACTTTACCATTTTCATTGAACTGCGGAATGACAACGCACCGCGTCTTCTTCTTGGCGATAGAACCGTCAACTATACAACAGTGTATCGGGAGGAAATGGACAGTAGCCTTGTGAGTTCTGCCACAGGATTGCAAATCGACGATGCTGATGCGCAGGCAACGATTGACATGGCCTCAGTTACCATACTTTCTCCGCAGCTAGGAGATCAGTTGTTGACCGACTTTTCTGATGATCCAAGCGTGCAGGTGTCTGCGAGTGCAACTCGAGTGGTCTTCCGAGGCACGAACACTCTGGCCACGTACCAGCGCTGGCTGCGCTCAGTAGCATTCAACAACACACTGCTCGAGCCCAAGGCCGGCCTGCGAGAGATTGAGTTTGTCATCGAGCAAGCCGACTACAGAGTGAGTGCCTTCACGTCTGTGTCGGTGACTCTGTACAACGACAATAGACCAATGTTTCCTGCACAGCAGCAGAGTGCCAATGTCCTGGAGAATGTCACTGTACCTTACACAATATTGACTGTGACGGTCAACGATGACGATAATGTTGATGGTGATGATTCCAGCGGGCCTGCAATGCACGTACACTTCAACTTGTCGAGTACGTTTGACGGCCGATTTGATATCGATCCAGCAACGGGCACGCTCAGTCTGGAAAAGTCAGTGGACTTCGACAATACTCTAGAAGAGCGTCAGTACAACGTTACCGTGAACGCGTATGACCCCGGTCTTGTACCTCACATCATTGTGCGCCATTCTAGCCTGACGATAACAGTCAACGTTCTTGGAGTGAATGACCATGCACCGCGATTTGACGCACGCGTGTACTATTCGTCGGTGACGGAGAACGCTGCGCCAGGAGCTCGTGTTATCACGTTGTCAGCTTCCGATGCTGATGAGAATCCTGTCCACTACTCTCTGCAGCCAGCTGATTCACTGTTTGAAATCAAACAAGCTACTGGTCTGGTCTCGGTCAGGGCCATGGCTTCTATTGACTATGAGCAAGCGTCCCAGCACACTGTGTACATAACAGCACATGATAGTCTGCGTACGGAGCTGCTCGATACGGTCACACTGGTAATCAACATCACAGATATCAATGACAATCCGCTTGCCATTCAACCAAGCGTCCTGCCGACTGCCACACTAATGGAAGGTAGTCATTGGGTAACTCTCTTCACCACTCTTCGACTTCTTGATAACGATTCAGCCCCCGTTGTGGACATGGCAGTGATACGGATTGAAAGCAGGCTACTTGCCAACACTGCAGTTAACGTCAGCACTCCTGAGCCATCTGCAGGCATTTCAGTCATTGCTAGTGCAGATGGCAACACCCTGCTCATCCAGGGCAGGGCCAGTCTGGCGGAGTACGAGCGTCTCTTGCGAAGAGTAACGTACTGGGACACCAGCGATGAGCCACAGCCTGACATCCGTGCGGTGACGCTCAGCCTGAGGGATCCCTTGGACTCTGCTTACGTGAATATCACGCAAGTCATTCAGGTCTCGTTGATCAATGACAACGCCCCCATCTTGGACCTTGATCCGAACAATGTTACGAATAATGCAATGGACATCATTGAGGTTCTCCTGCCTGGCATTGATGATGTCGGTGCTTTTTATACCCGCTTTGTGGAGAAGAGCCCAACACCAATCTCTTTGGTGGACAGCGCAGTTCGGATCACTGATGCAGATAGCGGACAAAACGAAATTGCCTCCATTGAGATAAGCATCGAGAATAGCATGTTCCCGCCTGGCACTGAGCGACTGACAGCTGATGTGTGTTCGGAGACATTCCAGTTTGATTCTACCAATGCCATCGCACGACTGGCCGGCCCGCCTGTCACCATTGCACGAGCGCAAACTGCTCTGCGTTGCATCAGGTACCACCTTGCCTTTTGTTTCTTATCTGACCTTGGTGTGTGTGTGTGTGTTTGTGTGTATGTGTGTGTGTGTGTTTGTGTGTGTGTGTGTTTGTGTGTGTGTGTGTGTGTGTGTGTGTGTGTGTGCGTGCGTGCGTGCATGTGTGTACATGCATGGTTGTGTGTTTGTATGGCCTTGAAACTGTCTGATATCCATTGAAGATAGCTTTAGATATAGATACACTGTCATGCTTGTGCGGCACAGGTCAGTTCTTACTGCTGCACTTAATGTTAAAACTCACGCCCGGAGGAACCGGTCCGGTTGGTCAGGCCATGGCGGATCAACTCTTTGACCACCATCGCGTGTTTATTGCTGCCGTTGGGTCATGCGTTCCCACCATCTCATACACAGAGTATGAAAGGCTAGGGCGTGGCCGGAGCAATCGAAGACGCCTTCCGCCAGTCCTGAGTTCCTGTACCTTGAGGACTGTGAAGATAATGGTGATGTCACAGCTGTCATGGTACAGTGCATGGGTGTGCATGGCATAGCTGTCATGGTACAGTGCATGGGTGTGAATGGCATAGATGGTGGTGATACCATACCATAGCTGTCACGGTGCAGTGCATGGGTGTGAATGGCATCTCCGGTTGTGCCCCGACTTTGTGTGTTTCCTGGCAGGTATCAGAACCTGGCTGGTCAATTCCAGCAGGATGCCACGCTACTCCAGACCAATGTCAGATTCATTGTGAATGACACTCGCCATGCGTCACAGCCGGTCTTTGCCTACATACACTTGGAAGCTGTGAACGACGAGCCAGTTATCCTGGTCGACGGCCTGACTCCGGATGCTATGCTGGAATACCATGAGAACAGTGGAGCACAACTCATAGCCAGGAAACTGAACTTATCAGGTAACATTGCACATGCAAGTGATGCAACACGATACAGAGATTTCCAGGACACACCATTTTGAAACATGTCTAATTCTTCACTTCTCCAACTCCAAGAACTGCGGCTATCTTTGCATTTCACCTCTCCGTCTGTAAATTGAATCACTGTGCGGGCAAAACATTGAAACATTGCTGCAGTCCGAATGCTCAAAAAGTTGTAAAGGTTGACACTATACGTATCTGAAAGTAGATAATCCACAAATTGAAATCTTCATTTTCACATTATCTTCAAGTGTGATAATGTGTGTGTGTTTGCCAGCACTGTTCTCTACAAGTGAATGAATGGCACTGGAAATACATGGAACTGTTTGTAACGTAATTTACTTGGATAATTCTTAGAGCTATTTTCTAAAACATAAATTGGAATCTTCCACCATTTCGATGAACTGCATCACTTTTACCCGTTCATCTGCATCCAGATCCCGACAGCGCAGAGCTTGCCGGCGTTTTCATTCGGCTTAGAAGCGAGTATGGCACCGAAGACAGAATCAACGTGACTATTCCTAGCGGGAGCAGGATTGTCCGTCTTTCAACCGACGCACATCAGATCACTCTTGCTGGTCCGGCTAGCTTGCAGATGTTTCAAGACGTGCTTCGCTCGCTGACTTACGAGAACGACAACATGTGAGTTCTTATCATTGCAAGTACGGTATGAGTTACACCTTGTTACTCACGGGAAACTGACCTACCGCTCGTATTAATAGATGCCTAAAATTACAATGCCTCCTGCTAAGGTGAAGAGGTATGCTCCAATTTGGAGTTGCGTAGCGGCACATAAGTCTGGGTGCAGGTTATATTTAGTTAGCATCCCCCCACCTCACAACAGAGCGACCGAGTTTTGCATTAAGCTGGGAGTGCCGATTCGAGAAACTGGTATGATGGCTCTGCTTGGAGCCGCTAGATGGCTCGCAGCTGAGCCAGCAAATGACTCCGCTTGGAGCAGGCGAATGAAAAGGAAATTGTTTGGGAACACATGTCCCGCAAGTTGCACGCTCGAAAGTCCAAACAGCAATGACATGCAAGAGACATTGTACAGGATTTTGAAGGGTGCGTGCCCACGTGACTCGCGCATGCGTGCAGGTTGGGCCAGCTCGCTGGGCTGGCTGCGAACTTGCGTTAGCATGCTGACGCTCATCAACTTGAGCTCTGCAAGTTTATCCACTGGCATGTGTTGATGTTAAGCATGAGTTCATATCATATGGATGGTGCATTCTCTTCTTCTTTGTCATGAAAGGCGCCAGTTTGGCGGAGCAGCCGTTGTAACATTCAGCATAGGCCAAGGCCAGAATTTCACCATGGGACAACTCAACATCAAGTTCCGCGGGATCAACAACCGTCCGGACCTCAGCTTGTCTGCATTCCAAGCGAGCAGAAGCATTGATGTGCGCTATGTGGAAGGGCATAATGCGACCAGGGTAAGGAGACCGTTGGAAGATCTGCCTGCTCTGTATGCGGTCAGTGTTGTTGTTATTATTATTTTTTAAGTAGCTTAAGTAGTGCACTCTGGACTAGGAGTATTTTCAAGGACACTCTTTTTTACGCAACTGAAACCCAAAGGAAAATTGCCTGATAATTGCATGGGATAATATGGCTCAACATGCTAAATCAGCAAAGGTAGTCTGAACCATCACCATTGTAGGATTGTGGGAGTCCATGCAGCTGTGAGTAAGGTGGACACATTCGCTGCTACTCCACACCTCATACTTTCCCGATCATCGGACTTGGAATAGCAATGGATTTCTCTCCCTTCCCTCGGTTGTGTGAAAAATCTCTACCTGTGGGTATCAATCACTTTTCAAGCAGCAGTACACTTGGCTTGTTTTGGACCGTAAGAGAATGCCATTTAGGACAGTTAGTGTACGGCTGGGAGTATGCATAGTGCCGCAGTGTTGTAGAAGCATACAGAAATTTCACCTAGAATCTAACAACTCATCCTCAAATTTTCACTGCCCAGTTACTGGTGGGCATATAAACAACGATCTCGAACCCGTGCCCTCTTTTATTTTATTGTAGTGACCTGACTGTTCCTTGTTGCATTTAAAACAGTCTCCGAGTTGCCTCAATACTGTCTATTGCTGCATTGTGTAATGCTGTATTGCCTTAGGAATTAGGAACATTATCTACACTCTTTATGCTAGCAATGGTATGGATACTCGTATTGTCGGAACTTTTGATGTTGCAGAGGGCAAGTTTGCTCTTCTAGTTTCCCTTCATGCGGGCAGGCATCTAGGATGTGCAGCTCTGGTTTGCACAATCCTGTGCATGACTGCTTTCACATTGCTGTTCACAGTGTACTCTCCCATGTGTAATGTGTGTGTGTGTGTGTGTGTGTGTGTGTGTGTGTGTGTGTGTTGTTGATGCAGCTAACGATGAGCGATGGGCCGTTTGTGACAGACATTGACAACACTGAACTGTCGCGTTTGGAAGTACGCATCTGCGGCCTGCGGGATGGCGCGGACGAGGTGCTTGACTTCTCGCGCAGTCTGGCCACGGTGCTGTCCAGCCAGCGCAATGCTACCTGTGCAGACTGGTCTTTGCAGGCAACAAACAACAGGTCTGTCATGACGTACAGTGACATCATCAGATCGGTGATGTATCACAATCTGCAGGATGAGCCTAGCCCTGGCCTGAGAACGGTTATGTTCATTGTGACAGACACTGGCAATAGCACTGGACATGGACCCACTTCCAGTGAACCAGCCTACGCCCACGTGACCATCACACCAGTGAACGAACACCCGCCAGCATTCTCACAGCCGCTGTACAACGCCGTCCTCTCGGAGAACGTTGCGGGGCAGCTCAACGTCACGCTGGCGGCGAGTGATGCAGATCGCTACGGCGTTGATGACACTCTCACAGTCTCAATTGCGCAGTCTCAGTATTCATCGCAGTTCCATCTCAACAGTACCTCACTAACTGCCATTCTGGTTTATGCTGTAAGTCCGCAAGACTATGAAGTTGTTGGACCACTGATTCAGCTCAATCTTACCGTATCTGATGGCAGTACCACGAGCTATGCAGTACTAGATATCCATGTTGTCGATGTGAACGACAATGCTCCAGTATTCGTCATGCCTGGCAGCTACATACGCTCTTTACCGGAGGACACTGCGCTCAACACGAGGATTTTGACAGTCAGCGCCACAGACGAGGATGGACCTGACAATGGGCAGATTAGATATTCCTTGAGCCAATTTGATGATGCCGCCACTGGTTCAGGGTCTGGATTTGCACCGGCTGCATTGCCGTTTACAATCAACTCTGCCAGCGGAGAGATCACACTCACCTCGACTCTTGATTATGAGACTATGGAGTTGTACCGTATTCGAGTCGTGGCCCGGGATAATGGCTCTCCGTCGATGCATGCTGAATCTTTGGTCACTATTAATGTTACCAACGTGAATGAGTTCTCGCCGAATTTCACGCAAGCGGCTTACACTGCCGATGTGTTTGAGAATGCCGTCCTGGGTAGCAGCGTGACAACTGTGCGTGCTGTAGACACTGATTTCGATGAGCTCGGTCTGGTCACGTACTCCACCAACACCTCTGCCTATGCCATAGCCATCAATGGTACAATCTACCTCAGAGAGAGCAGAGACTATGACGTCGCCGGTGGACAGCATGATGTCATCCTGGTCACTGCCAGTGATCAGGGAGTTCCCCCGCGCAGGAGCGATGTCATCGTACGAGTCAACGTGCTGAACGTCAACGATCAGCCGCCAGTGTTTACTCCCGATGTGTACAATGTACCAGTGTTAGAATCACTACCCAATGCCACTATCATCACTACAGTTACGGCTCAAGATCCGGATGATATCGGTGGACTGGTGTACACGGTACGCAATATTGCCTCGTCCGCGGCTCAGTTTGCCATCAGCCAGTTTGGTGAGGTCATGTTGCTGCAGAAGACGCCGGATGCTTTGGACTTTGAGCAGCACAGGTCCTATGCGGTTGTCATTGAGGTGACGGACGGCATTACATCACACGTTGATACGGCTACATTGAACGTGATCATTCAAGATGTGAACGACAACGCGCCAGTGTTCACCTCTAGTCAGGTGCTCTACACGGTGTCTGAGGCTGTGGATGTGGGCATGGTTGTAGCAAATAAGTCGGCAACCGATGCAGACAGTACGACCAATGGCTTACTTGTCTATGCTCTTGTCGGTGCTGGTGACAAATTTGAGATAGACGGTCACGGAGTGATTCGGGTCGCAAAATCACTTGACTATGAGATGAATCAAGTGCACACGTTCACCGTCACTGTCCGCGACCGCGGTATCCCTCTAAGCCTGAACAGCAGCCAGGCTATAACAGTTGATATCTTGGATATCAATGATAATGTGCCACAGATCCAGGTAGCTGCTGGTAGTAGCCTGACAGTCGTGTACTACGAGAGTAACGGCTCACGTCCCATTGCCAGTGGGTTGACGATATTGGACAGTGATTCACTGGACCTGATCAGTCTAACAGCTCAGCTATACCTTGCTGAATGTAAGCTGACGGATGCAGCGGCGCAGCAAGCATGTAGCACTTTCTCCGGGGATGAGTTGTCTGAGTGCTTGGACTCCTGCGGTGAAAGGATTCTGTTACCGGGTGCCGTTAGTACCACGTACAACGATACCGTGCTCATGTCCATCGCAACCACAGGCAGTGCGGCTGCGTACACCAGCATTCTCCAGAGACTTGAGTATCATGCACTTGCAGCCGATCCCTATCCTGGTCAGCGGCGCGTTGTCGTGACTGTGTCCGACGGCCGCACTGCTGTGTCCGAGACAATCCTCATTGACCTGATGGTGGTCAATGAACATGCACCTTTGCTGTCCAGCGTGGCCACTAGTTTTACATTCAGGGAGAACGACCAAGAGCTGCAGCTGGGAAAGCAAGCTATGCTAGCTGTGCAGGACCAGGATTCGAACAGCGATGGACGCATCCGCAGGCTCACTCTACGCCTACTGTCCGCAGTGGACGGCTTCGCCGAGACTATTGCTGTCCGTGACGTGAGCGGAAATTTCTTTAAAGGAACCACCATTAACCTTACTGATGACCTACTGCCGCACGAGTACGCTCCTGTGCTGACCTCGCTCAACTATACAAACAGCAGAGATGAACCCTCTGTCGGTGCACGTACGGTACAACTTGTAGCTGCCGACCGACAACTCCGCAGCCGTCCACTGAATCTTACCGTCAACATACAGCCAGTGGATGACAATGATCCTGTTCTGAGCATTGCCAACACCACAATTCTCTACACGGAGGATGAAGGAAGCGTACTCGTTGCTCCACTTATTGGATTGGAAATTTCAGATGCTGACGAATACAACAGTGATGCTAGCTTTGGCGACGTAAATGCCATTGACGTTTCCGCCACTGGGGTGGATTCTCACATCGACGCCACACCGGAGCTAGATTCGGGTATCGTGATTGCGAGGCAATCGCTTACAGGTAATGCTGCTGTGTCTCACAAAGCAAGAGTGTCTATGCGTGTTGTATACTCAGTAGTAGTAGTAGTAGTAGTAGTAGTAGTAGTAGTAGTAGTAGTAGTAGTGTGTGTGTGTGTGTGTGTGTGTGTGTGTGTGTGTGTGTGTGTGTGTGTGTGTGTGTGTGTGTGTGTGTGTGTGTGTGTGTGTGTGTGCATGGTATATGCTGTAAATCGGTTACCAACGGTTTTCTTCCGGATGACGAAGGATCCGCACAAAAGAGGACCGGATAAGCGAGGTCTGACTGTATGTATTGCCTTCTCATTCGTCGTCGTCGTCATGGTTGGCTGCCATGCCGTGCATAGCTGGGTGTCGTGTTACGCTGTGTGTCATGAATACACAGTGTACTTTTTCAAAGTAAGACCGTGCATGAATACTCAGAATGCATGGCCATGGGCTGAAAGCTTTTTAAATGAGTAGCCTGGAAATGTGGAAATGTCCCTCATGTACTATAATAACATTAGGCAGGACTAGAAGAAGCAGTGAATCTGGGAAGGTACATAGGCTGTATTTTTGTTGTCCATGTGAGATGGCTACTACAAGTTCTTAAACTGTACTTAAAATCTGAAGCAGATAATGCATGGTCCTTGCTCAACAGTGTAGATTATAAAAGAAGTGTGAGTGCAGCTGTATGTAAGGACGTATCAGAGTCTGCAACGTTTGAGGAAGGAAGGAATTGAATGTGAACAGCCGTTCTGTGTGTTGAATTAGACAAAAATTAATAGTCATGGTGGAAAACACCACCTCAGCTAACTCTACACATTGCTTGCTTTACTGTGTACAGCTGGCTTCACACTCTCTGGAAATGCCCCGCTGCACGCATACCGCAGGACACTGCAAACGCTGACGTTCAGGATCAGCAGTGGCGAGCCCGACGCCAGTCTATCACGTGAAATCCTTATCAGGGTTCGAAACCAGCCGTTCATGACGGTGACAGTGAATGTCATGCGAGTCAACGACCAGCCACCGATGATATCGCTCTCACAAGCGCCAGTCGACATTGCTGAAGAGGTTGCGCCAGTGCCTAAGGCCCTGTTTAGCGGTGGTGATGTCAACGTAACTGACGACGAGGATGGCTTGGTGGGTGCAACAATTGAGCTGCTCGGGGACAACCTTGACCCGAGTCGAGAACGCATCACGGCCACGGGATTCAGGCCTGTGACTGCAACACGGCTGATCCGCGACGATCGTGCAAGAGCTGATCAATACCAGGTAATGCATTAGCCTCTAGTGCCATCTACCACCATTACTACTGGGGAAATTCTCCAGAGCAATCTACCAGTCTTGGGGGGGGGGGGGGGTGAAAAAGCACAAGCATGAAGATAATACCATTGCTATTAACCCTTTGTGGACGGACTGTACGAGTTTCGATCTAATAAGATCGAAACTTCAAAACTTCGTAACTCCATCGTGTCTTGAGCAAATTCCACAATCGAAGGGTCTACGTGGTAGCGGGAACTCCAAGCTGTCCAATGCAACAATCGCCGAAGAGTTACAATGTCGGACACCAGAGATATCGCACGCCGTATTCTTACCTCGGCAAATTCAAATTTTTGATTGGTCATTTCGCCATTTTGGGGGAAAATCCCTTTTCGTGTGCTCTTTGAGCAACTGAGCACATGATAATGACGTAGCCGGCTGAAGTTTGAATCGTCTCAAACAGATTTGAGCGTTCTGCGATGAAGGAAAGTGGAATGGCGTTGATGGGACGAATTTGCTTGCATATCAGGCTTGGAGACGACTTTGCTGTGTTACCGCGCCTGATTTGTGGCGGCCAGAGAATGGAGATTGGTACCCTGACGTAGCTCTCGCCAAGAGCTTTCCAATGAGCCCTTGATTGTGAAAATCAAGTGAAGGACACCAAAGTTATGACATGGAAAAGTTGAAAATTGTACTGACATTTTGTAATTCTGGTGCATACTGTGCTAGTAATCCGTCCATAAAGGGTTAACTTTGATGGCTAGTAAAACTGTGCTCCTCTTTTAGAAGTACGAAATCACATGAATCACTCAGACAATGGTTGGTAACAGAATTTACAGAACTGGGCAACACAACGAGGCTGAGCTGAATCTAGCTGTCACTCTGTATTTATGTTATTTTCAGACTGATATTGCATCACTGACGTACACGTTGGATGGCGAGCCGACTGAGACCAACCGCATGGTTAACATCACCGTGCGGGACGATCTTTTCACGTCGTTCGCAGTCCTGCAACTGCGCTTGGTGCCGATCAACAACCACAGACCCGTGATTGCAAGTTCAACGACACAGATAAGTTACCTGGAGGATTCGGGACAGCAACGTGTAGGAACTATGCTTGGTGTGAGTATAAGTGACCTGGATAGCTTCAAGTTCTTCATGTTCACTGGTGCAACCGTGTGGCTGAGCGGCAGTGCTGATCACGGTGAACAAATCAGCATTGCCAACAACAGTACGTTTACAAGGATGACCATAGGTAAGTCATGGTATTTTTCAGGGCCATTTGAGTGCAAGTCACACCGGCACATGTGCATGGATAGGAGTCTATGAAAACCAAAGCTGTGAAGCTACTGGGCATTGCCAAGCTTGCTTGTATCCTATGTTTGCTGGACGTTTGTTTTAAATATAATAATTATTATATTATATATAGATTTGTTCCATAAGCCACATACTCAGCGTAAAGTCAATGTCGTGGTGATACCCTGCAGCTCAACGAACCCGAATGGCCGAATGTACGGCGGTGGACTATAGAGCTTCAATGTTGTGTGCACAATGCCTGTACACTGCCATGTCTGATAGCGGATGTATGTTGCCCTGTGATCTGCTTCATTAGGATCCTCTCTGGGCACGAGCATCACAGTGACGGGAATGGACACGTTGATGAGCTATCAGCGCTTGCTTCAGAGCATCCAGTACAGCAACCCCGTCGCCGAACCCACAGCGGGCCGCCGCACGCTGAGCATGCGTGTGAATGACGGAGTGGGCTTCAGCAACAACCACACCGCAACCATAGAGGTCACGCTGAAGGACGACAACAGGCTGCGACTGAACTGCTCGAGCTCAGGGGCAGCACACCCACTGGTCTTTGTGGAGGGTGACAGCTCCCTGGCTGTGTTGGCAGGCGCTAGCGTCAGAGATGCAGACAAGGATGACGTGGTGCTTGCGGCATTGATTCGTCTGCAGCAAGTTTTGGATGGCGCGCACGAGAGCTTGACTCTCAATTCGGGTCTGTTGGCTGGCGAGAACCTCACTTTAGAGTCGGGTTCTGTTGACGGTCAATTGTCTATCACAGGAAGTGGATCTGATGCACTTTATCAGGTAATGTCCCGTCCTGGCTTGACAGGACCAAGGTTTCATTGCGGCATACTGTTATCACTCACGTTTCTTCTCAGATTGGACTGCGGGCACGTTCTTTTTTTGGTTGTTGTTGTTTTTGTTTTTTTTGGCGGGGGGGGGGGGGGGTAGGTCAGTCAGTTCTGAAAAGTCACAGTAGTGGAAAACCATTGCATTGAATGATTTACGGTATTTGTCCATAGGGAGTAGTGCAGCAGTGTATCTTGGCATGTTAAGACATATACATATACACGTACCTGTGTACATTGTCCCCTTTTGGTTGAATACAGTATCATAGTAGCTAATGATGACTATACCAGGAGTGCTGTTTGATCTGGGATTTGCTTTTTGTGCTTTTTCTCTCCTCAATCTTACTTTGCAGCGTGTTCTGCGCAGCGTCACTTACTCGAACATTGCCGATGAGCCAAGGCAGGGCGAGCGTTGCGCTACCGTGCAGCTGACAAGCGGCAATGGAACTGTGGAGATGTGTGCATCCTGTTTCTCCGTGCTCTCCATCAACGACAGCCCGGTGCGGCTCTATCTCGGCGGGCCTGCTCAGCCAGATTACCACGCCACGCTTCTGTACAACAACACGGCGCGGGCGTCTACACGGATGGCGGCCAGCGATGCCGCCGTGAGAGATGATGACAGTGATAGTAGCATTGCTACAATCTCTGCAAGCATTCAGACACCGTACAGTGACGAGGCCCTCTGGTTGCAGCAATGTGGTATCCAGGCCACCGGGACATGTGCATTGCAGTAAGTTGTCGCTTGCAGCTGTTCGGTGTTAGCATGACGTCGCTGCAGTGGACCTTGTGGTGTGTTGCATTGCTGACACTACCCTGAAGATGCAATGTTAAAGGGGAAGTTAAGGCAAAAATTAAAATTTCACCAGTTGTAGTCTTCGGGGTGCTGAGTCGATTGTTCTTGGTCCGAGAAAGCTGAGACGCTCCCTTCCTACTTGAATCCCAATCGAACTCGCGCACTTCCACCGAAACTGGGTGACTGCGCCCTACTAGATGGGGATTTGTATGCAAAATGTCACTAAAAGCGCCATTTTGTTCTTATAAAAGCACGGCTGACCGCGATTGGCCCATATATTGTAGTCTTTTGGACGCTGAGTCGACTGGTTTTGGTCCGAAAAGGCTGCAATGCAGTGTTCCTCCTTTATTCCCAATCGAA